GAACTCATGAGAAGTATACAAAACAAACCACAGGTCTACTCCTTTAAAGCAACAACCACAATGCTGATTTTTTTGGGCCATAATTCAATTGACCATTACTGACAGTTTAATAAATAGGGACAAAGGAATGCCACATTTGTGATATTTTGAGAAATGTCTTAAATCTTGTAGATATAGAGTCTCTCTCTTTTCTCCAACAAGTTAAATTTACAATATTTATGTTTTTGTTTTGTTTTTTACAGTGTAGACCACTATTTTGAAGACTGAGGTGAGTTGTTGTCAAAAACAGCCACTTGTTATTTCCGATCGACACCGTTTGACTTGGAACGAGCCTCAGGAGGAATCTGAAAGGTCAGTGGACAAAGTGGTGATGTGTGTGTTAAGAATCAGCTAATTAAAGCAGCACATTACACTGGCCAGACTCTCACTGTGGCAGCTTTTCCACAAGTGAATACAAAATGAGGCTCTCGACTGCTCTGATGAGGGCCTATGTTCTCCAAGATCAAGCTGTGACAGTGACCTACTTCTTACCCAAGGTCGTTTCCAAATGATAAAGCACAGATTATGATACATTTTTAGTTAGCCATGTTGTCACTGCCACACTCAGCAACAGCGCACTGCACCTGCTTAAGGTCACAGGACCAGTTTTGTGTAGTAAGCACTAAGCAGGTAAACTACAAGTGCAAAGTGCCAAAAAGCTGACTCAAAAGTAGTGTGACCCAATATCACAACCTGCTACTAACTTTACCTTCATGACTTTTGTGGCTGCTGGATGCTGGGAGGACACTGGAAACTTACTAGAGAATGTCAAAAAGAAAAATGCAGTTTTACCTGAAAGGTGTGCTAAACTATATTTTAATTGTTTTATAGCCCTTTAGATATTCTATTCAATCAATTCAACTTTAGTACAGACTCTAGGTCCATAAATGTTTTTGTATTTATTTAATAAAATTGATCAAAATAAAAACCATTACATCGAAATAAAAGATTATTACAATAATTTATCTTCTAAACATGAAACATAAATGTATCAATACATTGATACATTTGTATCAATGTACTGAATTTTTCTAAAAATTGTGCTGATTTGATTACGAGTTAACAGCCTTGTTTTTGGCTTTTTCTACATTTAGAAATATGTTGTATTGAATATACTTAATAACAAATGAAGAAGAAAAAAACAATAATTTTTATGTGTTTGTACAAAGAAAATTGCAATAGTAAATCTCATATGAAGTTCAGATGGAAACTGTCTGGACCAGATAAATATAAGGGACCACACAAAGATAAATACAAGGTGAAGACAATAAAGCAACTCGTGCATAACAGAAATGGCTGAAAAGACATTCTGATTCATGGTATAATGAACAGACCTCCGTCCCAATATCAATGTTGCAGTCATTGCAACAGATTGTAAATCAATTATTTACCATTTAGCTAGTTAGCCACCAACGACCCCGTTTACCCTGCATTCTTTAATAACCACCCTTATTTATCATTGTGGATAAAACTTAAGTAAAGTCTAGCATCAATTTGGTGAATCATAGAAATAGATTGTGAATAATAGAGAGATCACAGGGGAGAAGATGTATAGACAGAAAGCATTAATAACAAATGTCATGTAAAATGTATGCAATAATAGATCAAAGAGAATGGCTGAGGTGGGGTCTATAGCAACAAAGTGCAAACAGTCCCATACAGCACCAGAGATCTCACTGAGATGGACAAAGACATAGTTTTCTACTACAAAACTTTTCATACGTGTTTTGTTGGTTTATGGTTTGAAAACACTGTAGGTAGATAAAAGTGTTATGCAAACTGTAACTATGTACAATTTCAAAATTGCACTTTGTCAAATTAGCGATTGTACAAGCTTGTCACACCTATTATTATTTCATCCTCTGCATTTTCCTTTTTAAATCGCAGACCTGAACTAACACAGCCTGCTTGTGGCTCGGATATATCAATTGCTGAATTCCAGTTAGCACTAGCAGCAAAACAATCCAAGATTAACACATTTAGCACATTAATAATTTAACGTTTTATTATGTGTGTGAGGATACTCAATGGGGGGTTAAACTGTCACTGCATTATTCAACAATCTGCAAAATAAAATTAAGAAATTCTTTCAGTGTGGCATATGTTTATATACTCATGTGAGTGTTAGGGTCCATCATGTGAGGGTTAGGGTCTATTGTCTCAGTGTTTTGGTCATGTTTTGAGCAGGCAGCTTGCAGGCACAGGAGTTTGGTGGCACAGCTGAGCAGCACAGCAGGGAGTGTGATTACCTCAGTAGCTGCAGAAGATGACTGTCAGCAGCCAAAGCACCAAACCTAACCCTAAAACATCCTGATGCCAATCCCAGCTCACTAAAGCATTCTGCACTGACGTAGAGGTATTGCTCAAAGAACCAAGGAGGTTGTCCTTCCTCTTCATCCTTAATCATGGTCAAAGTAGATAATTCAATTTAGAGCTGCGGAATATGGGATTAAAACTACTGTTAAAACTATTGATCATTCTCAATTTCCTATACAAATTAGAATAGAAAATCAATATACAACCTGTGTGTGGGGGGGGGGGGGGGGGTCCTAGCACACAGACGGGACTCTTTTACATACAATTATTAGTCAAACATTGTGACAGGCAAATAGAGTAGTAAGACATATTGCTAAGTGAAATAATATTTACAATAAAAAGTGGCTATAGCAGTGCAGGTTTTTCAATGTGTGGTGATTGTAATCTTTACTTTTTGCGGCAGCCCAAAATTCATCCAAAAGCACTGGCATTCTAGAACAATCAGTCTTTTTGTCAGAGAACAGGTTTGACTAAGATATGATGATGTGATTACATGGATTCCAACATAGCTATAGGTAAAATGTTCTAATCAGAGAGTAACAACCCTAGACACAACCAAAGTCCAGATCTTCTTTCTCCATCATAACACTACAGCTATGTCAACATTCAATACTTTCCATCAGTAAAAAATACAATGTTTTTGCACAAGTTTGCGGAAGGTTTTTCAAATGTTTGAAGGAAGAAAGAAAAAAGCTGACCCATTAATTTGAATGTTTTATGAGTAAGTTTTAGAGATCAAAATATTTCTTCAAAAGCTTCAACAAGAACAATGATTTCTATTTTATGACAAGGAGACATTGGCAGAGAGGTTGTAAAACTACACAGAGAATATTTTATTATGGGCTTTCAATCTTCTAAGACAAGCTGCTGGTACAAGGACGGCTTCGTAGAGTCGAGGAAACAAGGAAAGCATGGCGAGAGAGAGCTGCTGTGCCAAACATGGGGTGGGCGTCAGTCTGTTTTCAGTGAGACCAATCGATGCCCAACCCACTGCGCCAGGACAGGACACGGAGATTTAAAACAAGAGAAACTTCTGCCCATCAACTTCAAGCAAAGTTCATCAGAAGAAACAGTGATTTGGACAAAAGGAAGTTGACGCAAAACCTTTTTCTCAACAACAACAACAAAAACAAGCAGACTGAAGGCAAGGTCTATGAACGAGTTTGAACTCGCATCACTGTGCGGTTCTATTTTAAAATGCAGTTAAAATATTGTTTATAAGATAAACACTTGACTTGAATTCTACTGTAAAAAGCTGTGACTTGATCATTAAGCCAACTTAGTTATTTGGAACTGAGAGTGACAAAGTAGATGTCTGTTTTATGCAATTATGACACATTTGTAGTGTCCTGGTATCAAACACATGAAGAAACTGAATTTTATTCATATCTTTTCAGAAAATAGTCTCATCTATAAGACAAAATGATGAGAAAGAATAAAATGTTTATATAAAACCACACATTACACAATAGTGATGATCCAAATTCTTCTGAAACTGCTCATTTCCAATGTTGTCTAGTTAATCTGATTTTATTTTAGTATATATTAATGTTTTTTCACTATTTTCATCGGTTTCATGCAGCAACAAAACCTTCTGCTTAGACAGCAGATAAGCACAGACAGAGGTAGAAGTAGGATTGCTACTGTGAGTCCGTGTCAGCAGATAAACAGAGCTTCCAGCCATAGTTACAGTTACAGCGGATAATTCCCAGCTTCATTTTAGGTGACAACCCCCACCCCTAACACCTTGTGTGATTTATAGACAATTCCCCAAAGATTGTTAGGTTGGTTTCTCCCTAGCTGGAAAACATGCATAAAAATAGATTGAGTTATTGGTAGAATCATGTCTATGTCCAATTGTAATACTTTCTAATAATACAATTTTGTTTTGTTTTCCATTTGTGATATATTGTATTCATAAACAAGTTCTGTCCCTTTAACCCTGTCAAAGTGTAAACAGATCTACAGCCATAAATGGTTTCTTATCGTATTAGGTGAATGTTTTATGGTAGTCTGTTATGTAACAAGTAGAGGAGAAAATTCCACTCGTAACATATTTATCTCAAGAAGACAACTGAGTGTACAGTCAACCAGTCTCTTAAAACGATAGAGGGAACTCAATACTGATGTTACAGGCAGCTTTACAAGTCTCTGCAGTTAAATAAAAGTTAATGGGGGTAATATAGGTGCACGCTTCCCGCCTCAGAACTGTTTTAATCTTAGTCTATAGCATGACGTGTTATTAAAGCAGACTTATTTTCACTGTCCACGTTTTATTGTCAATAACCTCTGGGGAGTATGAAAGACCAAAGACTGTCAGAGACGCGCAGAAGTTTCTAGATGGCGTGTGCGCTGCGGGGGGCTGTAGATAAACATGTCTGGCATCCATTATAGCCAATAATGTAAAGATCGGTGGGAATATATTCGATACAAACTATGACTATGGATTAACATGAGTGACATTTACAGAACCAATGCTGTAGACAACATTTCTGTCTGTCCTGAAAACCCCAAAGTGTGTGGACAGCTTTCCATAAATCTATTACACACTTAAATCTGGCATTTCTTGTGTCATCAGGATTAAAATAATACGAGAAAGGGTTGACAATACAGATACCAGCTACTAAACTTTGTGTACAACTTACCTTGTGGGTTGCACGTTGCTGCTGTTGTCCGCGTACGAGTCTTCAGTCTCCGTGGCCGAGCCCACCTCATCCTCCACGGTCACATCGGGTCCAAACCCCGGGGCTCCGCTGTGTTGCCTCGGCTCCATGGTTCTCACTCCATGCTTGGGCAGTAGAAGCAGCGCAAACAGGAGCACCAGGGAAATGCTCACGTCTCCAAAGCGAAGCCCCCTTTCCATTTGTAAGACTGGCACATTAGTGACAGATGAGATTCACATGCCACGATCCCGCTAAATGTTGACATAAAAATAAAAGTAATTTCAAATAAATACTGGCTATTCTATGAGGAAGTGACACAAGCGTGCTGCAAAACGCCCTTTCCTAAGTGGGCTTTTTAAGTAAACATAAACAGCCACCGGGGCACCATGTTATTCGCTTTATACTTGCCTCTAGACAAGTCCTGGTAACGCTACAGCCCGCCCCGTTTCTACACTAGCATTGGACGTATTTAAATAAAAAAAATCAGTAGAAAATCCCATTGGACTGCCTTATGTCAAACACTAACACTCGCTTACTAAGCACAAGATGATTGGACCAGAGCACTGTCAATCAAAAAGTGGGACCTCCTTGCTCCATCCTCCCAAACAGTGAAGTCGATTCATCCACGCGGTTGTCTGTCAAATTCACGCATGCGCAAATGTTTCCGCCGCAAAAAAGTGACGCAAAGAGAGTCTCCGATGGCGTCTCCAAATGTTGAGCAGCGATTGGTGGAAATTGACCAGTTGAAACAGGGATAAAGTTTGTGGGAATTTCTGATTGGATAAGGCTTGACCCTTCTGAGAAAATGCTACCTTGTGATTGGTGGAGAGAGCTGTCACTCATGAGAGGTTGTCATGAGAAAGCTGACATGTAAACACCAACGTGGCTGTATTTGAACGGTACATTTCCTCATCACGAGTTCAAACAGGTCCCTTTTCACTTCAGTATGGACAAACTAAAATGGCATTACATCATAAGGGCAGATGGCAATGTACTGAAACAGGATGTCACCCAAAAGTAAAAAACGAAACTGTTCACTGGTTCGAGTAATGGTTTCGGCACTATTAGTAATGCAGCCTGGACTGTAGGGTTTACCCATGGATCTACTTGCTTGTTACCCGAGCATAGAATATTGACTCACTTAAAACGACAGCAAATCTTAATTTTATGGACTGATGGCAGAAAATTAGTAAAACTAAGAAAATGAAAAGCGGTTTTGAAATGCGTTAGCTTTCTGTAGTTAAAAAAAAAAAAAAAAAAACATAACTTACCTTGTGTTGAGTGCCCCTCATTCTTAGTATTCAGTAACTTATGATGCAACACTGACATTTTCCCACTGTGGGACGAATAAAAGATCTCTTAATCTTGAGAATATAGCTTAAAATTTCCAAGTGATAACTTTGTTACTCACGTGGCAATAAAAATGATTCTGATTCTGATTCTGATTCTAAAAATAAATCCTATTAATCCATTTATAGCACCCTCAAGTGATAGAATGTGAAATTACATCAATAAAAGGCATTCAGGAATGAGTTAACCTGTAGTTATTAGTTTGTATTAAGACAAATGCATTTTAACAAAAACAGAAAAACCAGTCAGTCATGTAGGCAGATAACAGAAGGAATGCTGGTTTAAAGAAAATTAACAAAAAAAAGTGTAAAGGCAAAGAGAAAGGCCTAAACAATAAAAAAAAAAAAAAAGTTTATGTTAAATCTAAACAAATAACATTTTCATAATTTCTTTAACAGATGAAATGGCACTAAAGATTGATAGTATGTTTTTAAAAAAGGCACACATAAGCAGGAGCATGTGTATGATTCATGAATGAAACATTGAGTTGAGAGACAGTTCCATGAACTATGGATTAATATTTGTTGTAAAAGTGCACTTCTCATGCTTGGGACACTGTTCTATCTACAGTACATAATAGTATGAACATTTAAATCAAATGAATATCATGTTTTAACATAGCAGCCAAATAGTGAGTTCTTGTTTCTTGGGAGCAAACATGTCTGATTCAAGCAAAGAAGAGGCTTGGTTTTTGTCAGGCACTTCCAAGTTTGGTCCAGTTATTTGGTAAAGCTGGTTTGCCCGGACCAGTTTTGCGGTTTTAATGAAGGGAAGGTCACTTGGAAGAAGAGGTCACTGAAGAGGCAAACTGGTCAGTGCACTGTAGCGTCCCGCATCTTAACACTGCCGTCTTCCATCCCAAAGTAAGCACGCTCAGCCATGCCCACGAACAGCCCGGTGTCTACAACTCCTGGAAGGGAGATATTTTATTCAAGACAAACTTTATCTTTACACTCAGAAGTACAGAGAGATTTGCATGGTTTAAAGCACAGAACAGAAGCATACTAGTAAAAATAAGCTGACCTTCCCTGATTTGAAAGCCTTATATAACTTTTCTCACCTGGAATCATCTTGATAGCAGTATTGACCTCTTTCCAGTCATGAGCCTGTTCAAATTTCCAGTCCAAGATAAAGTTACTGTTGTCTGTCACAACTGGACCCTGGCAATTAGAGAACCACAAGTATTCGGGTTATATTGCAGGTAAAAATACAACCGCAGCGCCATCTTGTGGTACAGAAGTGTGGCAGGCAGAGTTAAGGAATAATGTATTCATGTAACCCATATAGTTTGCACCCATACTGTTTTAATACAATTCAATTATTCTTTCCAGAATCTTATGGCTTGAAATGTTCTTCAGCTAGAAATGATAACAACATTTAAATAAAAAGTATCTTATTAAAAAACAATATACAAGTTGCTGAAACTGGCAACACCTTAAGAATAATTACAATTACTACTAACTTTTACACAGAGTTGCTCAGTATAAGGGTAGACAGAACAGGACATTTTGAGGCCAATATACCTTCAACCCCTTATTAAAAATGATAATTCTTAAAATCATATGCAAAACAGGATGTGTTCTATAATCAATCACATTAAAAACAGAATTCCATGGTTTCAGAATGTACAACATATTCAGCTTCCTGAAAGTGTCAGTGACCAATTGACGAAAACTGGTTTTGCCAAACCTATTATGTAAATAATTGCAAAGTTTTGTCATGGACGAAACAAATATGTCAACAGAGTCTCAAGAACAGAGATTTCAACACAACTTTGAAAACCTGCGTCACAAGGGAACTTACCGCTTTACTGACAGCCATACGGAGGTTGACCTCACCCCCGAATCTCTTGACGATTGTCCGTGAGATGGGGACGTAAGCCATTGGGATTACCTCAATAGGGACACCTTTCTTCCACTGTCCACCCAGAGCATCAGAGTCTTTCCTGGGAGAGAATGATGTAGGTCTTAATACATGTACATTTATTATAAGCATTATAAGCACAAAACATTATCAACATTGGTATTGAATTCGCCAAAAATCCGTTTCACACAAACCTGAAGTCTGCAATAACAACAAAATGTTTAGCACAGCCCGCCACAATCTTCTCCTGAGTCAAACAGCCTCTATTACAGATAGGAGAAAATGTAGGTCAACAAGTCATGTGATAAAAGATCAAGCAAACATAATGCGACCACAAACTCACCCGCCTCCTTTGATCAGTGTGAGATCAATGTCCACCTCATCTGCTCCATCAATCGCCACATCGAGCTGAGATAGAGACATATTAAACATCCGTGGGACAATAACAGTGGTCTACATACACTGGTGTAGAGATGCGTGTGCAGGTGAAAGGTTCCTTAATATAAAAGGGCCTGGAATATCATGAAAAGTGGTGTAATGTAAATATTTAGCCACAAAGAGAAACATCAACACATGACGGCCAGTAGATCATGAGTACAGAGACCCTTCATACCTCTGGATGTCGGTCAAGATCTGATAGAGTAAGCCCATGCTGCAAAATCAATTGTCGAGCCTGCGGGAAAGTAAACATAAAAAAATATTAGAATCCCTAAATAAATGTCATGCTTAATACTATACATGTGATGTGACACAAACCTACCTGGAATGAAGTTGGGACACACACAATGTTGAGTTTCTCTTGTCGCACTCTTTCCGCTGTCAGAAGACACACAACATAGTCATAAGTACACCAGCTTCACTTGGATACTTGATAAAGCCACATACAGTCTCAGGCCTGCTTACCTAGTCTATCCACAGCATAGACAATGGTCGAGCCACTGCCCACTCCAACAACTTGGTTATTCTACAAGAGAAGACATTACACACAATTATTATTCCCAATATGAACATCTGTTAACTAGAAAATTGGCAGAGTACCTCCATAATATTTTTCACAAAGACACCGATTATCACTGCCATTTGGGTTCAAACATGGTCGCACTTGTAACACTGTCAGTGCCTTATTTACATGTCAAACAGAGATCTATTCATCCCACGTGTGCCAGATAAATAACACCTTGAGTCCACACAACACTGCAGTATATTTAGTGTCTAAAGCCATACGCTGTTATATCCTGTGTCTAAAATAAACACATGGCAGTTCACTTCATCCCATGGTTTATATATTAGATAAGTTAGCAACCACGCTACTGTCAATAGTGGCTAACTGTTAGCTAGCATCACACGTAGCCATAACAAAACGATCAAAGTATAGAAATGGGTCGATCATCAGTAAAGTGTGGTGTATGCTGGTGTTGTGGCTCGCACCTGCACATGGTTGTCCACAGCCGCGTACGCAGCCAGTTTCTTCGCCTCCTCGGCCATGATGCTAGCGGCTCTGTGGGACTGGGAACACGCGTGGTTCAGGGAGGCTGAGGCGGGCAGGAACTTAACCAGAAGAGCAGCGCGAGAGACCCACCCCCCAAGGCGCATGACCCCACCCACGGGACTAGGGGCTCGGGACAGGACCGCTCAATGGATCAGAGACAGAAGCAGCCCGCAGTCCGCTCCAGTAAAAGTCCAGAGTCCGTGCCAGGCCAGGCCAGTCGTCCACGTGGGTCATCCCGTTTCAGTGTCTCCCTCCTCCCTCCAGTTTAAGAGAAAGTACTGTCTGTCAGTGGCATGTTCTTTGATGGAGAATGTATTTGCCGTTCATTTATTAAAGCTAGTTACCTATAATTGAAACCTCAATAATTGGTCCATGTACTGAAATCCATCTAACCAGGTCGTCGCACTCAATACACTTTGGTTCTATTTTTTGGCCTCGGTCACATCCATAGACTGTATATTATTATTATCGCATCTTTGGATTAGGTGTTTCAGGAAAGAAAAGTAAAATAGAAGATCACCCTCACACAGCCAATCAGCTCTCAGCCCAAAGCGTCTGATAGAAACTAAGTGACAGGGCTCTTTCTTGAGTATTACCCATAGACTGTACGTCAAATAATCAAGTTGAAGTTTTAAAAAAGTACATGTATTATTTGTGAAACAAATATTAGGCCAGGTACCCCAGCTTTAATCACTTTGCCAGCTGTTGTACTTATCAGAAATCATAATTGGGTGATGAGTTAATTTCACATAGCAAAAAAAGGCGCACAGCTTTACTGCAAGCAAACATATAATAGAAATGTATAATGATGTAGTGTTGTAGTCTATATATCAATCAATATAGTTTGAATAATAAAAAACAGGACAACATATGCCACTACTATTTTTTTTTTATTTGGCAAACAGCTTGAGATAATCTCTCTTTTTCAGTGTACAGTATATATTTATATATACTATAGGAAACCAACACATTCTTTTTAATACCCATTTTCTCATTTTTACATCTTACAGCTTACAAATATAGCTGATCTTTTTGACAAAATTACAGATTCTGTTGACACCTAAATTATTATGCTATATAAAAATTCACACATCTTACATTCAAGATTAGAAAAAGTAAGCTATTATATGAAATCGGGGAAAAACGGAATAGAACAAAAACGACACAATTCCAAACTATTTTGAAAGCTTTGAGGTTCGGAGAGGCAAAGGAGCAGTGCTGTGATGCCATCCACAGTTTAGTCCTCTGAGTGTTTCCGTCATATAGTAAAACTGTCAACTGTAGAGATATCAAGGAACAACAATACTGCCACATAAGAATAAAAATGATTGGTCCAAAGATTGAAACTTTCTCGCAGTGGATTATTTAGCCAAGAAAAGTCGATTAAAACTAAATCTCTGCATTGCAAACTGTACATTACTGTATCGCTCCTTACCTCATTACTTTTCTCTTTCTAAGTGCTGTCTATAAGGCTTAGTCCATAGATTATGCAAATGCAGAACTGAGCAGTGCTGTCCCTTTCTCTGCTTTATCTCAGCACGAGACATCAGCTCAAATAGGACATCTTTTTATGCCTCACATCTGTAATGCAACAGTGCTGTGTGAGGAAGCTGCCATAGGGAGACTGGGAAAGCAAATACCCAAGGTTAGAATGGCAACGCTACTTTTGAGGAAAACATATCGTCTAAGCTAAGTACATTTTAGATGAGGATAGATGTGTAGATGGTGAAAACATAGAAAAAGTTATCTATCCCGCTCAAAGACAGCTTACACCACCAGTGGCTCTGGCATCTGTTTCGGATGCCTTCTGGACGCCTGCCTGGGAGGAGGCGGCCCCCGGGGGAAGACCCAGGACATGCTGGAGGCCTGGCAACGACTTGGGATTCCCTTGGATATGCTGGAGGAAATATGCATGAACAGAAAGTCTGGGCTGTTCCACGATCCGGCAAAGAAACTGGATGGATGACAAGTTACATAGAATAAGTTAATTTTGTTTTAGAATTGATAAATATGATATGTTTATCTTGTTTTAGTTCCAGTTCTGTGGCCACTCACCTAATTAGGGAACCTCCACGTTTTGCCTTCTCTAACCATTCAAAAATTAAAATCTTAGATATTGTCCAATCTTCTATTGTTTTCCCCAAGAGTTTGTAGCATTAAGCAGATTAAGATTTTTTTTTTTATTATTTGCCAATCTAACCTTTTGCCTGGCACTGTGAATGCTTAAAAGCTTGATGCAAAATCTGAATAAATGGAAAGTTCAGAGAGTTGAAGCCACGTTGATGGGCTAAAAAGTCGTTCAAAAATCCTTTGCTTGGCTGATGGGTCGCTGGGGAAGTTCATCAAAGAACTTCATTTGTATTGCTGAATCATAAGCGTTGCATTCGTTGTTTGTTTTGTTCTGAGAAGTTGCTTGCTACATGTCCATTGGCATCACATTGTATTTAAAAATCCAGACAAGAAGCAAACTGGTGCGTAGGATTTTTCGATGTTTGTCTTCTCGTCTAAAGGAGGCCTGTGTTGGACAAGTACATGACAACATTGGCAAGCATTTATCTAATCAAAACATCAAATAGAAAACAATACCAGATTAGTCTAAATTCTGAACACGTTGCTCACTAAAAATAACAAAAAGCATTTGGTCAGAAATCCAAAACCTGTAAATTGTAATATGCTTACACACTTTTAAACCTTTTCCCAAAACAGAAGGGGAATCTACAGAACATGAAAAACCAGGGAAAGACGAGACACTCAAAATACAATAAAATATGGGCAAACAGATAAAACCTTTCTCTTTCCGACATTTTCTTTAAAGATAAAATAAATATTTCTATCTCAATCCCACCTAAAATAATTTGTCATATTGCCATAATATACTCTATATATTTATAATTTGATAAAGATTTTAATAACTATATGTTTTGGTTTGTGCTGTCTGTCTAAATAATTACATCTAGATACTATACTGCACAAGTGGAATGTATCAGGTCATTTCCACCTTTAAATGAGGTTTGGTGGCAGCGGACAAACATTTTCCCGGTACCCGTCGATTACTTTAGCAGTGTGACAAAACTAAACAGAAGCCAGTGTCCTTCACAGCTAAAAGGGTGGAGGTATGTCAATTTAACACTGAACTATAAAATATTGTTTCCCACACGCAGAGCCAGAGTATCTCGTCCAGACCGGCAAGTATTTTCTAATGGACCAGTGTAAAAATGCAGAGTGCAAAGTGTCGAATGAAAAAACAGCTTATTCGTTCTTACAATGTAGTCATTGCACCATTTTTCCACAGCTTCCAAACAGCGTTCTAGACTTGCACAGCCTGACGTGAGCACTTGGCCAGTGGAGAGGGTGACAATGTAACTTATGAAGAAGGAGTGAGAAGGAAACATGGAGGTATATGGCACTGAAGGAGCAGACAGTCAAACACAGGTGATTCTGGGAGGTGCCTCCGCTTCTATTCGACTCAGCTCTTTTTTCCAGTGCTTCACCTGTAGATAGTTCTTTATCAAAAATCTAAACAGTCGATGTATTCCTTTTTGCTTCCGTGACAGTTTTGCATTGAAAAGTGTGATTTTTTTATATCCTCTTTTTTTTCACAGCGGTCTCTGTGCAGCTACATATGCTGAGCATCCATTATGTCCAAGTATTTGGCCTCAATGATATGAGGAAGAACATTGTTCCTGCACACAGAGAGACAAAACATACAAAGATTCAACTTTTCATAAGCACAAGGACGTTTTTTATGATCAAGTTTTCACAGAAAGTGAAAATACAGTTCATGAAGTTTTTAAAATATACTATTATTTATTGAACAATTTCCACTGGCCTGACGCTGCAGATGTGTTATATTCTGGTGCATCTGCAGACTGACTCTTCCTCACACAAGAATGGGAAAAGAATCAAGAAACGTTAGGCCAAATGAACTATCCCTACATACACAAACATTGCAGTAAAAATACATCTTGTACTTGAGTTATATTATAGAAGTGTCATTGTAATTATTTCCTTTTAAATCCCAGTGCAGAGTTACAATGCACTGCTGTTTCATCACTGATTACTGTCATCTCGATAAACTCAAAGCTCAGAGAATCTCAAGCTCTTAAAGTTTCTGAAAAATAACATTGTTTTCTTTGTTTATTGACCTTTATTGAACCAGGCAAGTCCCAGAGATTTAAGAATCCCTTTTTCAGGAGAGTCCTGGCCCCAGAGAGAGGGGAGCTATTGTGCATGTTTTTAGAGGTTGGGGAAACCAGAACACCTGGAAGAAATCTACATAGACACAGGGAGAACATGCAAACTCCACTTAGAAAGAGGGTGAGGTGGAATTGAACTCAGGTCCTTCTTGCTGAGAAGCCAGAGTATTAACCAGGTGCCGCCCCAGGATGACATTAGTTAGCCTACGTAGATCTGTCATGTTTCATCAGAGCACAACAATAAATAAAGGAAATCACTGCAGTGTGTGTTTATCATCTGTGTATTTGTGTGTGTGTGTGTGCGTGTGCGTGCGTGCGTGCGTGTGTGTGTGTGTAATATATGCACAGGCCCAAGTGAAGATGGACTCGTGTCTCATGAAGGTGGTACCTCATTGGGATTAGAAAGATCATGACCAGAGGAAAGATCATTTTCATGTACGGGATGGGGTACATGCCAAACGTGCACAGCACCAGCAGCTGCATCATCTGCAGGAAGGTGAAGTAGTGGATCTTCCTCTGGGGCACTTTGCGGATGTAGTGGGTGGGAGGGTACGATGTCTGTGCAGGAGAGAGGATCAAAGCAGATTATAACACAATCCCTTTCTCTCATAGAGCCTTACAGACAGTACCCAGGGAAAAGTCTACTCACATTGGGAAAAATGCAGCATCTTTTCAATAAAACAGTCTGCATAAAATTCAATACTCAGGTTTTATTTTTTCAGTGTGCTTATTTTATTGACTGTGGAGGTGTTTGTTGTTTCAAGGTAACCTCAGCTTTACAGATGTAGAGTTATGGAAGTGTATGTGCAGTTAGAAAATCCATGGGTCAGTTTTATAAATAGAGGATTGTTAGTTTCATGGGACTAATGTGGCAAGTATATTTTGTGTTCATGACAGTGTTTAGAAATGTTGACATTGTTTTAATAGTAATCCAGTGTACTGTATGTCCGCTCATCATCTGGCAGCCTACAGGGTTCATGTACAAGCAGTTCCAACAAGATTTAAGCGTTTTAATTAAATAAGTTATCAGACAATAGAGTAGAAAAATAGGGATAATAATTTGGTGATCAACATAAAACAAGAAGCCACAAAAAAAATCACAGCTTCATAATCATTCTTCATCTGAACTGTGTCTTTAATATGTCTTGTTTTGTATGTGAGTTACATTATGTGATGCTGATATAGGGTTACCATCTGACAGTTCCATTAACAGACATTTGGGGGCACTAGTGTGTGGCGAGTGGGCAGTCGTGGTTTTACCTTGGAGTCAAGGTGAAATCGGACACAGAAGAAGCTACAGGCTTTATCAATGTTTCTTCAAAATGTGAGTTTTTGTGAGCGGCAAAGACATTATATAACCACATGCAGAAGAAATTCACTATTTCTTTGACGAACACACCACCCACTACTGATTAACATCCCTTCACTGAACACAAGATAAGCGCATTAAATACAGTTAGCTACGGTTTACACTATAGTCAGGAGCGAGGCAATCGAGACAACACCAAAGTCGAGCACATTTCTTAATAACCTTGTCTTGAAACTGAACTTTAGAAAAATGCAAATATGGTGTCACGACTCGCACCAAGGTTATGTCCACACACTCACGAGCCACAACATGGGTAACCTTCTAACATATTCACCCACTTAGTATTCTTGTCTCAATATCCGGCAAAAACACAATGTGGTATTTGAGAAGTGCTAGAAATGACATAGTTAAGAACAATTAAGTTTCAGTCTAGCAATTGTCTATGCAATGAGTACTGATTTTATGAATTAGTCCTTAGCTATTCCCCTAATATAGTGATTTATTCATTTGGAAGGTATCTATCAATATGACACTAACCTGGTAGATAAAGATAAATTCTATGCATACCGTGGCTTTTGATATAATTTATTGACATAACGGTAGGTTATATAAATAAATCAAACTAATCAGTCAAACAGAAAGGTTTTTAAATTAAAGATGAGGGTATGAATGTAAAATCTGTGTTCATATGTTTGGGTTTTAGAGCCTACAGTTCCAAGAAATGGACAACTTCCTGTTATTTGGTAGCAGTGCTAATGTTGGCTGTACTCTGGTTATTTCAGTTTTTCTCTGTTGGTTTGGCTCATTTCTTAAACAGAAATGGCATTCTTAGTAACAATATGATAATTTGTTCTTACACTTCTGCAGTTTGTGACTTCTTGTAAAAGAATTCTGATTCTGATCACACTAGCAAAAAAACTCATTCATATTCGTGTTCAAGGTTTTAGGATCTTGAGACTGAAGAGAGAATATGGAGAGAACAATCAACAATCTATTTGGAAAATGTGCTAAATGAGGGATCATTATGCTGACTGCAAACGTTACTAGTAAATAACCATTTTCAAAGATGCACTTTAATTAAATCAATCAGAAATACCATTCAATTGTGAACATAGAGAAACGCTGTGATCTCGCCACATCTGCAAAGCTAGCTACCAGGTTGGGAATACAGTGGGGCGGTTGAGGCTCCAATGATAAACTGTCCTTAGGCAAGACACTTCACCTACATTGCCTAGTATGAGTCTGGTGTGATCGTGAAAGATTGGTGGTGGTCAGAGTCTTGCAGGCAGCATCGCTACCTCAGGGCAGCTGTGGCCCTGTGAGTAGTTTACTACCATGTGTACAGAGTGAGTGAATATTCCTCACATGGGGCTCTTAAAGTTGAGAAAATAAAAGGTTATCAGTCATTTGTTCTCATGACTATTTTAAGACCAGGTATAGGCCCTGCAGTATGTATGTATCAGAATAGACTTAGCAGAGAGGCATATTTGGACCTTTGTGATACATCTAAACAATATAGAATCCAGCCCTTGTAGAATTTTAGACAAAGTGGCCTTACCTGCTCCTTTAGCAGAAGGGCCATGCGGTCGCACATCTGGTTGCCATCGATGGAGGTGAGTGCGATGTAGAGGAAGAGGCCGTACAGGACGGGTTTTGGGATGTATTGCAACGGCATGGGCAGCAGCAGCACTGACACACCGATAAAGATGTTTGCAGCAAGAGACGTCAACCGGGTCTCCTTCACCTGGACAATACTGACAAACAAACCCAAGCACATACATGTCAATGAGGGCAGCTAATCGAATCAGGAAGAGCAGCTTCTGGGAAACGAGAGCTTTGAAACCATTGGATTGGGGAAATGCTCTAGTTAAAAGAGACATATGATTCTCTTAGGGGTTTTCTCATATAAAGATATACATGCACATAGACTATTATCATTCAACTGGGGACATAATAAGCCTGCCTCCCCATTGCATCAGTTTTAGTGTGGAAGATTGGTTATATAATTATATAAAACTGATCCTGATCAAACACAGGATTTCTGAGAAAAATACATGTAAACGAAATATGTAAGTATGTAATGTCTAGTAGAAGTTTGAAATCAGCATGCATCATGTTTTTTCTACCACTTGTAGTCTACAGTTTGTACAGTCGCAAAATACTCCTTACTTACTTTTACAAAATACATTATTTTTAAGTATAACTCTGACTACTCTTTTGTCCTAAGGCAAAAAATAAAACATGAGCGACTAAATGTGCTGTGATGAAATATGGTACTTCATGCTTCTCAAAATAAATCCAAGCCCCTTCTCTACTTGAACCTATGATCACACTTATGTATGTCTTCCTCATCAGTTATATGTTTGGTGGTCTTTAAAGTAAAGTTGAAATTAGGTCACAACACTGAATTTATCTTAATCAAATGTACATCTTCCATCCATTTAATGCTAATCAGGGGTCGCAAAGAGGTAAGACAGGAAGCGTCGAGTGAAAGCACTAAGCACGTATTAATATTAGAACCTTGTATTCTATTAGAGAATCAGTTCAGTTATGCGAAACATTGTATAGAGGATTCTGTTTGCCCTATTCAAGGCACTTCGTTGCAGATTAATCCTGGCTGAATGCTAACTAGATTTCTGCACATGGCTGCAGTGATAAAAACCAATCCTCTCATCTCCCCAGAGCTACTTCACCTCTTCCACCCGGAGAGAAAATGCTTAGTTACAAAGTAATCATGCAATCAGTGAGGAGCAGGATACAGTAGTTTGCAACACAAAATTAGGGTGGCTTCACACTCCAAAGACAGCCTTTAATTGAGCATTTGATTAGCGGCGTGCCAGTAGGAGGTTTCACTCACGTTTCATAGAGGTGGCCACCTTCCACGCGCTGCTCCACAAAAGCAAGCTGCCGCACGTGGAGCGTGGAATGAGGAAAAGCCGCATGCATCCACGGCAACCCCATCACCGACATCAAGATGTTAATGAGGCCAGAGAGCATTAGGTCCCAGTGGTAGGCTGTGCCCTTCAGCAGCCTGCGGACACCACACTCTATTAGAATGTACAAACAAACTAGCAAACCCAAACACCACCACAACAGCATTTGATATATGACCACTATTATACAACCCAATTAAGGCTGGAGCCCAGATTAGTGTCACATTTCAGAGAGAAAAGGGGAAAAGAACCCGCTGAGGCTATGAGCAATAACTCATAAAAGTGGTTCCCTTTAAAGTCTTTTTTTGAATAGCAAATGCTACTCCTAATTAACGATTGTCCAAGATTACATTAAGACACATTTTGCTTTTTCATAGAACATTTTGCATTTCATTTTCTGTTCATTGCATATTTACATTTTTTTTGAAAAGTTCCATTACATAAAAAATCTGGATTCAGACAGGGATCAGGGTTACTGGCTATATCTGGTTGGTTCGCCATTACCATCCTGTCAGTCTGTATCTGGAAGTCCCATAGTATCTCTGCTCGCTCATTCTCAACCACATTTAGAAGTGTTCCCATCTTGACCTTGGGGTTTCCAGGCCATACTTTGTTATGGCATTTATATCGTATATATATATATATAATACACAGACACTCATCCCTGCAAATGCATCAAAACAACACCCAGACCGATGACCATGCGACGAAGGGCAGAGAGACAGTTTTCATACACTCATATTTCACATAGATCTCAGGCTGTTCATGGTCAAACATAAATGGAAAGGGCAGGGTGTTCCTAAGGTCAGCAGTGCCCTTCATCACAAGAACTGAGGGCTATTCACTGTCTCAATATTTAACGTAACGTAATGTAAAAAATACCGAAAATTCAGATACACACTAAAATATAGTCAATACCACACAGTTCATTGGGCTACTTCAAAAACATGATTTCTCATGTTATTTAGACCATATCCACTCAAAGCTTTTAACATCACTGAGTCACTTGCCCTTGAGTGTGACATTCAAGCACAGAGCGTAACCATGCAGTGCGCACAGGCTTATGCTTTTATTTTACATCTTGGAAATAGTACTCATAGGATGTCTTTCAATGCTTCAGTTGGAACTCTTTCTTGGGTTGATGAGTTATACATTATACAACATATGATGATAATGATGTTTTTATGATGCAACAACAATAGGCCGACTTAAGATAATTACCTTCAAAGCATCATCATGTCTATGCAATGAAAGTGTCTCATTATTTGATTAAAGCTTTATTTGTTTACCTCCTGTGGACTCACCACCTGCAGGAAGATCAGTGAGGGGCGGGTGCTAAGTGTACTGGGTGCAGCTCTGACTGCCACCCTCCTGACCCATAAATGGATTAAGGGGAAGAAAATGGATGGATTTATTTGTTTAATTCAAGATGGATACATTCATTTAAATACCATAAAGCAGTTCAGTTACAAATGGGCAGCAGGACTATGCATTTGTTTTGATTTTTTCACAAATAAGGACTTTCTTGCCCTCTACAACCACTGATAAAACTCTCAGCACCAGAACTGAGGATTTGACGTGTCGACTGCTGGATGGGCGTCATTGTGGGCCAAGGGAGAGCGCACAACTCTGAGCAAAAATAATGATTTCACAAACAGGAATTACAGAAATGCAATGTTTGAGAAAAACTTCATGCCAATCGAGTACTAACGTGCCCGCAGCTAAACAGTGTGAATTAGAATGCTGCTGGGTTGCTATAGTGATGGACTTCCTGTAGTCAAATTACCAAAAACCTCTTTAATCAGAATACGTTTGTCCAAATCACAGTTCCATTTATTTTAGATAGTATTTTCATAGCTGTATATTGACATCTTTAAGTTGAGGCAGCAGTACTGAACAGCCTGAAGTGTTTGCAGCTGCAGCCATTCTCTCTGTGACTTACAATTGACAAACTGGGAAAGACAAGCAACGTATAGTTTTGACACAACCCTAGTTTAGTGGGTTTCAGCTGAACAGATCAATAAAATCGTTACAACATGATGTGAAGTCTTCATTATCTCAAAAATTAAGACATTGACATTTTTGAGCCGCAACTCTGGATGACTTTCAAATGCATAGAGTGTTGCTGGGTTGTCTGGAGGTGAAAAAGAAGCCGTAAATGAGAAGAATGATATTAATTAATTTATTATTTATTGTTATTTGGTTGGGATAGTGTTTGTTAACTTGTACCTTTTCAAACCAGGTACAAGTGATTTGTCTATTATGTTGCAATTTGTAAAAATATGTATTGTGCAAATATAATATTTAGAAATTTAAAAATAAAATAATGAACATATCTCTCTGGATTGTACGCATGAGCTAATTTGCATTTGCATTGCACTAACACTGATTCACCTTGAACCATTGTATTTGCTTTTAGTGGTAGGGGAAACCGGAAACACGGGGAGAACATGCAAATACCTCACAGAAAGGCCCTGTCTGGAGGTGGAATCAACCCAGGACCCTCTTGCCATTTTCGGAGCTCTCTGACTTATACTATACTTAGGAACTAGCTCGGTATATCCAGTGGCGAGAGGACGCTTGGAGCCTTTTGAAGAATCATGCAGTGAGACCATATCACTAATTAAAACTGAAACACTCCGAAAATGCTTATGTCGTTGTTAAAATTCTTGGTCGCGGCTCATTATCTCCAGTGTATGCACAGAAAACAGAAACTTCAGCTGCCAGTTCCCACAAAGGTATTTCTGAACGTCTTGCACAGCCATTACCAGATAAGGCAAACGTATTGAACATTTTATGACAGTTCCAGTAATGGCATGTATTGGGATTAGTAAGAAAAAAACAGTAACTATATAGGAAAATAATTAATTACAATTTATCCACACATATATTCAAAGAAAATGAAACATCCCTGACGGTCAGAAAATTCAAAGGAGATCTTCAAGGACAATTCTGCTACTTTGAAATTTGTTGATAGAAAAAAAACAGGGATAAACTTAAATGCACTATAATTTTACTAGAGCCAAATCCTCTGATCATAATCCAGGACAGAGACAGGCATATTGAAAAGTTCTTAGTAGTATTGTAATATTAGTATGAATATTGTACTCTCAACAGAATCATAAGTGGGCATGTGTGAAAAAGTGACGAGCCCCCCTTAAAATTAATTTATTATACACATATATTCTACATGTATTTAGAATCTGAGAAAGTGTTGGTAATAAGATCATTACCTGTTTTCCGGTGCATTTGTCAGCGACACAACAATGTTCTGGTCGATAAAGATGAGCAGAGCCAACAGAAAGCCAAGTCCCATGGCACTGACCACGTTGAGAGCCGACAGACGTTCAAAAGGAGCCACGTTGAAGATGGGCCGGTTGTGAACTTTAAACACTGGAACTGTTTGAAGGAGAGAAGAAAGTAAAATGTCTTATTTCTTGTACAATGTTAATGTTAGTAAGCTAGATGATATAGACTGATTGTACCATATGCACCTTCTTAACATTATAGATTTAAAGGAATATCCCAAAAACACCATATTAAACAACAAACAGCTCTGAGCGCACTGAGCAAGCAATTTAAAACTAAGCAAACTCAATCTTGTGTAATAAGTTTTTGTTTTGAAAACTACTGTCCTCTCCAATGAGCAGTGTATTTTTATTGCAAATTTCAGTCTGCACAGACATTCCAAATTGGTTGCATTTGGTTACATTCAGTTTAAAACAATTATTACAATACAATGATAGCACTCTTGACTTTTGTCTCTGGAGACAGAGAGAGAATAAAACTGGCTCGACCGTTGAATTTAGATTCTCTTGAGGGTTTGGCAATGACTCCATGTGCTTCCCAGTCCATCCCTGGAGAACAGCTGCTGCCTTGGCAACTCTGAATGGAGTCTTGAATTTACACTAAACAATAAGGGAGTAAATGCTGCCCATCCCCGTCTTATTGAGCAGGACATTGATATAGAAACAGTAGGAACAATACCAACTAACTCAGGCTGACCCCAATGTTTCAAATCATCAGAGATACAATTCTGTCTTTGGATTCCCGTAGCAATATGGATGGAATAATAACAATCATATGACATTAGTCTATTCATCATTATTGTAGGAGGGAGGTCCACTGAGTTCTGTGACATCTCACCTCCTGATTTTACTATTCGTATTTGTTCATTTATTGCTCACTTATGGCATAATATACCCTCCAGTAATGATAGCTCTCAGCTCTAAATTGGAGAGGAATTTTCTAAGAATGCAAACCAGTGGTTTCAAAGCGTTAATATTCATGCAATATCCATCTGGCTGGTGAGTCTAATGCGGGCCAAAATGCAAATGCACTGACATTAGTCTGGACAGTGGTGATGTGAAGTCTATAAAGGTGTCAACAGGAAATGGACTTGAACCCTTGGGCAGGCAATCTCTAAATATCCACTTCCTTGACTTCAAAATGGCAGCTGACAAGACAAGCTTTTTGTATGACTTCAAACTCACTGTCACATTGAAGCAGCATTTCTGCAGGAGCATGACACAGGATTTATTTTAAGATACAAAAAAAAACAAATAAAACAGTTTGACAAATTATCTTTTCTCACAAGCCCAGGACAAGTTTGTGTGCAGCACTTGGGCTTTTAGATATCAGCTCATCACTCATTAAAGGCTGTGAAGAGCCATAGGCCTGTGCATGTTGCATAGGGGTGAGAGGTGAGGTGAGAGCCTTGGGGCATTCGCTGTGTCAGTTGTTCAACACAGACGTTAGAGGTTTGACAGTTGTGTAGATTCAGATGTAGTTTGTAGAAAGGGCAAAATGATCCCAAAGTTAATCATCAAAGACTGACTGATGTGCTGAAGAGAGCACATGGACTTCACGATTGATTGTTAACTCATGCCTTAATGGCAAACTTCACAAAGGAACATGTAGGAAGTGTTAAATTAGTGTTCTCTTTTCTTTCTGCTTTTCCACAGAACATCATTAGCATCTGTGCGCTATTATTATTGCGCTACAAAATTATGATTTTGTTTTTAATCCCTCCATTTACAGTGCCCAGGTCTGAGACTGGAGCAACATGTGCATTGTGACTCTTGAATATTTATTTTCTCACCAACATTATTGACATTCAATCATGTCAGTAATCTTAGGTTCAACATTTGAGAACTGTTCCTTTTAGACATGCATGAAATACTACCAACAGCAGAACGGTTCACACTGACCGTCCCTTCATTATTATCACCGTATGAAGAAACTGGGTCAAAGTATTGATTTATTATAGAACTCCCGCTGGTTCAATTCCAGTCTCCTCATGTCCTTAAGCAAGTTTCCAACTTTCTGACAATAAAAACTTGTCCAGGCTTGCTAGCTGTTAAGCAAATACTATATATTTTTGAAAAAGCATTCTATGATTCATAAGGGTTTAACAATACATTGTACCATGATGCACAAATGTTGTTGAGCTACTGTCGCCCCCACATTATCAATTATTGTAAAGTAGGATAATTATAATTACAAAATTAATAAGCAAATGTGCATGACTTTTTTCATTGCGACAGCAATTAATCAATAGATTAGTGAATTAAACCGAATCGTGAGATTCATGAATTGCTGTGTCCCGTACACATGAGCTGTGTGTCTGTCTGCGGCCAAGTAGGATTGCAGCTTGTGGCATGCATACACACCAGGTGCATGTGGCGAGGAGCGACTGCTGCCCCTGGGAAGTCTAGATAACTGCTAGACACAAGAAAAAGTCAGATGTACGTGTTTGTCCTCATGGTCTCTGTGGGCTGGTTTGGTCAGACGGCAGACAGAAAACAAAAAAAACGATGCGCCTCCTTTTGATGTTGACATTTGGTACTGATCTAGTCACCAAAGACCATTAAAACAATAATATTTCTGTTTAATTTTGACTGAAAGCAGCGTAACATTGCGCGTCTCAAGCATAGAATGAGCAAATTATTCTTAAAAACACATGGTTGTAATACATTTGTATGTAAATAAAATGTTCAATAAAAAAATCACTTGAATAAAAAAGAAAACAAGATTTAGCTTTACTCATGGTTGTGCAACCATGGTCAGAACTGATTGAACAATCAGTTCTGACCGTATGGGACTTTTGTAAGTCATATGTTAATGGTATGTATCAAAGTGGCCTCCAGTGCTTTACAAACAAATAGGTTTTATGAGCAGTGACACCGACTTCACTGTTCAATGTCAAGTCTATAGCTTATTTACATGTGTCCTTGTATTCACAAACTTGAATTCACAAATTACGATCAATCAATCAATCAAAGTTTATTTGTAGAGCGCCTTTCATACACAGGGCAACACAAAGCGCTTCACAGTCCACATCACAAATCATCACATAAAACAAACACCAGAATCACAATTAAAACATTAAAATCACACAAAAGATTAAAACACAATTAAAACATTAAAATCACACAAAAGAATAAAACCATTAAAACTTTCAAAATTACACAAGAAATTTAAAAAAATAAATAAATGACAGCAGTGCATTAAAAATGGAGATAAAATCCTTCAGTTATATGCACAGGCAAACAGAACAGTCTTTAACCTGGATTTGAACATTGACAGAGTAGACGCCTCCCTCACATTTTCAGGGAGATTGTTCCAGATCTTAGCTGCATGGATCTGAAACGCAGCCTCCCCATGTTTGGTTCTCACTCTGGGCACCAGCAGGAGGCCAGTCCCTGTGCTCCTCAGAGTCCGGGCCGGTTCATATGACACCAACATGTCACTAATGTATTCTGGTGCAAGGCCATGGAGAGACTTGTACACAAGCAGAGCCGTTTTAAAATCTATTCTTTGAGCCACAGGAAGCCAGTGCAGAGACCTGAGGACCGGACTAATATGGTCATACTTCCTGGTTCCTGTCAGGACTCTAGCTGCTGCATTTTGGATGTACTGCAGCTGCTTACAGGTCTGTTTGGACAGACCTGTAAGCAGGCCATTGCAGTAGTCTAGCCTGCTGGAGACAAATGCATGGACAAGAATCTCCAAGTCTGCCCTGGACACTATATTTCTAACTTTGGCAATGTTCTTCAGATGGTAAAAAGCTGTTGATGTTATTGATTTTATGTGGCTATTGAAATTTAGGTCTGAGTCCAGTATTACCCCCAAATTTCTGACCTTGTCTGAAGGAAGTAGGGAGAGAGACTGAAGTTGACAAATGACGCCCTCTCTTTGTTTCTGGGGACCAAAGACAATGATTTCGGTTTTGTCTGCATTTAGCTGGAGGAAATTATTTTGCATCCAGTCACTGATCTGTTGGATACAGTGAAGGAGCAAATCCAGTGGTCCATGTTCTCCTGCAGTCAGTGAGACATAGATCTGAGTGTCGTCAGCGTAATTGTGGTAGGACACTTTGTTTCTTTGTATTAACTGACCTAACGGCAGCATGTAGAGATTAAATAGGAGAGGTCCCAGGATCGACCCCTGTGGTACACCACAGGTCAGGGCCACATCATCTGAGACGCAGTCTCCAATCTCCACAGAGTACTTCCTATCCTCCAGGTAAGACCTAAACCAGTCTAGGGCTGTGCCAGTGACACCAACCCAGTCCTCCAGTCTCTGCATGAGGATCTCATGGTCGACAGTGTCGAACGCGGCACTAAGATCTAACATGACCAAAACTGTGACTTTACCTGCATCAGTGTGAAGTCGAATGTCGTTTGTTACCTTCACTAGAGCGGTCTCAGTGCTGTGGTGGGGTCTAAACCCAGACTGGAACATATCAAAAGAATTATTCATTGTTAAAAATTCAGTAAGTTGTTGGGAGGCCACTTTTTCAAGAATTTTTCCAATAAATGGCAGATTCGATATGGGGCGATAATTTTGAAGTCCCGCAGGATCCAGACTGCTCTTTTTTAGGAGAGGTCTTATGACTGCTGTTTTTAGGGCCATAGGAAATGTTCCTGACGACAGAGACATGTTTACTATTTGTGTCAGTGAAGGTAACAAACTGCTCAGGACGGACTTCAGAAATTTAGAGGGCAATATATCCAGGCTACATGTGGAGGAGCTCAGACGCATGATTATCTTTTTGACAGTTTCAGTATCCACAGGTGCAAAGTGAGTTAGCTCAAAAAGCTTCTCTGGCTGTTGCATTGTTATACGTGCTGTGGAGGTGATAGTGTTTTTGATTCCTTGTACTTTGTCATCGAAAAACTGTGCGAACTCATTACACCTAGATTTAGAGGAAAATTCTAGGGGCAACTTTACAGGGGGGTTCGTTAATCTACCAACTGTTGAAAACATAACACGAAAATTGTTACTGCAACCTCCAATAATGTCAGAAAAATACATTTCTCTTGTTCTACGTAGAACCCGGTTAAATTCACCCAACTCATCTTTAAAGATTTCATAATCGCCCTGGAAATTGGACTTTCGCCACTTCCGTTCGGCCCTCCGGCACTCTTGCTTCTGTGCCCTAACCGAGTCTGCCTTAGTCCATGGGGCCTTTTTCTTACTGGTAACTATTTTAACCGTCACAGGAGCAATGGCGTCCAGAACAGTCAGAACACTGGTGGTGACAGAGTTATACAATTCATCAACAGTAGAGCATGGAGTTTTCTCAAAATTTAGCATTCCCATGAACAGTTCACTTGTGTTTTCATGTATGTGTCTTCTTCTAACATTTGTAAATTCAGCTGGTGGTTTGCTAGCAAAACACATGTCAAAAAATACACAGAAATGATCTGACAAAGCAACATCAACTACATTAACATTTGATACATTAACCCCCTTTGTAATTAGCAGGTCAAGAGTGTGCCCCCTGCTGTGGGTGGGGCCACTCACGTGCTGAATGAAACCAAAGGTCTCAAATACAGAAGCCAGCTCCTTTGCATTTCTGTCATCAACATTATCAACATGTACATTAAAATCACCTGTAATAACTAAACTATCAAAATCTGTGCACACGAATGAAAGTAGTTCAGTAAAATGGTCAATAAAATCGCAACATGACTGTGGTGGCCTGTACAGTACAATGAAAAGAGTAGAAGATTGCTTTTGTTCCATTTTAAAAGAAATATACTCAAACGATGAAAAATTTCCAAGGGGCATTCTATGGGAGACAAAGTGCTCTCTAAAAACTGCAGCTATGCCTCCCCCCCTTTTGTTTTCTCGTATTTCGGATTCGAATTTAAAATTGGGTGGTGTTGCTTCTATTAGAACTGCATTTCCTGTATTTTGGTCGAGCCATGTTTCAGCCATAAGCATAAAATCAAGATCATAAGAAGTGATAAAATTATTAATTAAAAATGATTTGTTACATAGAGATCTGACATTAAGCATAGCAAGTTTAAAAATAACGTCAGAGTCGATTAATGTGGTTGATTGATTTCTACAGGGAACAGAAATTAGATTTGCAGAGTTGGACCGTCTAACTGCTGTCCTGTTTTGATTTCGTTTTTTAGAATTTAAAAACATTTTTGAGCTGGTGCGAGGAACACACACAGTCTCAATTGGCCTAAAATGTGAAAACCCTTGTTGTTGTTCTTTAGCTCCCAGAGTCAGAAGGGAGTCAGCACAGTTCAGTGTTTGGACTGGTAATGCACTGCCAGACGGACAGGGAGCAGTGTTTGCACCGTTGTACTCACCCGGTGCTGGTGAGCAGGAGGCGGGGGAGTGCGGTGGGGTCCGAGGGGGCTCAGATGTAAACAGTCACGCCCCCCTCGGGGAACGCTGAACAACATAACGTATGTAATCCATCAACAGGCTGCTACCGTATCTGTTTGGGTGTAATCCGTCTGGACGATAGGCTTCGTAACGTTTCCAGAAAAGGGCAAAGTTATTCACAAAGACAAAGTTAAAAGAGCTGCATGTAGCCTGAAGCCACACATGCAGCGCCACAACACGACTGTAGAGGCAGTCACCTCTGTTTACAGTCGGGATTGGACCAGAAATAAAAACAGATAGTCCGGAGGATTGAAGGAGGTGGAACAGATCCATAAAATGTTTCTTCGTGACTTCTGACTGCTGAAGTTTCATGTCGTTAATTCCCACATGCACGACTACCTTGGAAACGGTATCAGGCAGGGACTGAAGCAGAGGAGGGAGACGTATGAGCAGGTCTGGTACAGTAGCTCCGGGAATACAGCGAGTGACCGCGTTAAAGAAGCGGACGTGTCTCACGATGGAATCTCCAATAATCAGAGTGGTCGGGGCGAAGAGTGGCCTCGGAGAAGGAGCTCGGTGGACGGAACCAGCGGGTTCACCCGAAGCAGGACCCGAGCCTGAGCGCCGCTGAACACATGGAGAGGAGGAGCGGGGGTGCTGACTCTCAGCTACAGGCGACCCACGCTGTGTGCTCGGGGACGCTGGAGCGGTGAGAGGGGCTGGCTCTGGGCGCTGCTGCTGACCCGGTGGAGGTGAGCGGTGGTGATGATGGCTCGCTACCCCAGTCTGAGGCTGCTGCACTGGGGTCAAAGAAGGGGAACAGGCCAACATGGCCGGTGGACCGCTCTTTCGCCTGAGGACTGCTTCCTTTAGGAGCGTTTTCCTCGCAGTGGACTTGGATCCTCGAGCAGTAGAGTACGCTGCAGTGTCCAGGGATTCTGCTGAGGGGGCCGGGATGTCGGTGGAGAGGGCTGCATAGCGGTTTGCCAGACTCAGGACATGGGCCACGGCGCAGGATGGCTCCTCGGAATCCGCGGGCTCGTTATTCGGAACCGGGCGCTTAGGTGTAGAACAGGAGGGTCCGGAGCTGACGGATCTCTCCCACACGACAGTGTCACAATATGCAGCGCTCAGTGACATAAGCCGTGAGTGCTGCCCACCAGCGACTTCAAAAAGTTTGGATACTAGAGATTGTTTCTCATTCAACTCTGCGGTGAGACGAAGGACTTCTTTTCGTAGTTCTGCAATGGTGGCACGGTCGCTCTCACGGAGCTCCAAGGTGAGGCGACTAATATTGTGCATGTTTGAGCCAATTTCATTGTCACTTTCCATGTCCTCGTTAGCTTGTGTTAGCCTCTGTGCTACTAGTGGGTTTCAGTCGGGACTAAGTGCTATTTGCTGAAACCACTGAATTAAAAAGATAAAACACTCAGATATATTAAAAAACTGAACAATAAAAACGCGCTAAAAAGTTGTTAAAAGTTTACTAAAAAGGTGCACAGAGCAGCCCTGCGATAAGGAATTCGACAAACTAATTTCTATAGTACAAAACAACTCAACCAAAAAAGCAGTAAATATAAAATACTTTTTAGTAACATGTGTGACGGCACTTGGAAATACTTGAAATGTAAATGTAAAATGTTGTGTAGGGATGTACCGAATCCGGGATTCGGGTTCGGATTCGGCCGAATATTGGCTTTTTTGACGGGGTTCGGTTTCTGGCCGAACCTAAGAATTTTTCCCCACCGAACCCGAACCCTGCACTTACACTATGCGCGCTGTGGCTGTTGGATTCGTCACGGAAATCAGATTCATTCGGAAGTGTAAATAAACATGCACTTTAGCGGAGGTTTATATCCTCTTGCTCTCTGTTCCTCTTCGGGTGCGCTGAGGTCTCTTCCTGGTCATGTGATCCCCACGGACCAATTAGCTCTAGTTATACGTCGGTGCGAGGGTATGTTATGATTCTTCTTTTTACCTGTAATGCGGTTCTGATGGGATTTTAAACTAACTTCCTATTCACCAACTTTATGGAGCCGATTACCAGTGCCAGGTACTTGTCATCTGCGTATGACTGTAGAAGAAGAGTTGGTGAGTCCATGTTTAGGCAACTAGCCTCTTAGCATTAGCTTCTCTCAACTTGTCTCGGACGAGTTTGGCATATTTCTCAAATGTATGCAATGTTTTGACCTGAACCAGTGGAAGCTATTTATGCATGTATGGTGCTTTAGCTCTTATTTTTACATGACATGCACAGTAATATATGTACTTTATCACTGAAGTTTTACACTGCTGTGAACTGAATGTATTTGTGTTTAATGATAAACGGGATTATTATAAATGTTATAATAATAGATTCTGGTCGAGCTACATGTCCAATTTGCAATGCAGATTTGTCTCGTGGTGGTAAGGACCCTAAACAGTACACAACACTGTTAAAACATTTGCGTATGAAACATAAATGGACTGAGGATGGAGTAGGATTCGGTATTCGGATTCGGTATTCGGCCGAACCCCAAAAACCTGGATTCGGTACATCCCTAATGTTGTGTATTGTCATGTCCACAATTGAAATTAATAAATACAAACTGAACTGTAGTTCTGTTTGCACTCTTAGGTGTAAAAACATATATGAGGCCACTATGTCCCTGGTCTGAGGATGTCAGCACTCCCTCTGTCTCACACGTCCGCCCTTTTTTGACACTTTTTAGATTCATCCAGTGGGAGGTTTGAAGCTACGTTTAAGGTGAAGAAAACGACTTTTGAAACTTCAAGCTTCTTTGTCTTTGGTAACTCAATAAGTCAAGCAAAGGTCACTTAAAACATTACAATGTCAAACTCACGGTTAAAATGATTGTTTCTGCCAATATATGATGCCTATTGTGGAAGCAGCGTATGCTTGCCTTCCAGCTAGAATGTCCACTTAGAGTGTGCTGTTCTCTGCCCTGGTGCACCGGCAGCAGAGTACAGGTATATCGCAGCACTAAATTCACTTGGCCACTAAATGTCCGGCAAGGCAATAAATGATACTAACGCTCAATGTCGCTGAAGATGTAGGAGCCGATGAAGGAGAACATGAGCACGGAGATGGGCAGGGCGCAGTCCGAGAGTACCTCCCTCACTTTGGCATGCAGGAACGGACTGGCAGAAAAAGACAAAGAGAGACAAATAATGCAAGAATACAATTACTGTGGACAAGACAAGGACAATGGCTGCAATCCTCACACTGCTTAAGTACCGCAGTCCGCCTCTTGCTTACACAATTCAATCCAGTTTTGAGCTTGATTTGATTACTTGGAGCAATCAGAAGTAGAATATTTAATGCTTATTAAATCAAAGACGGGAACAGAAGCTTTGACGGAAAAGGGATTTGTAAAAAGGCTGTCTGGAAAGTTCCCATGAGAGGAGTCTGGCAGTCTTTAGAGTCAAGGCCTCACTCTGGTGCACTCGCCCATCAAAGGACACTTCCTCCAGTGATTTATATCAGTCAGGGCTTCTCAAACTGTAGCAGAAGAATGCCATTTATAATTACTTTTGGCGGCGGTGGCAAGTGCTTTTACATTATATACTGTATGTACAGTATTATATAAGTAGATACCAGTTGTTTTTCCTGGTATCTACTTCACTTAGCTATTGTGTTGACACTTTTTGGTCCTTACTTTTAAACACAGCTAGCTATACTTTCTAATCCGTATACATAAAAAATAACAACATTAAGTTAGATACAATACATTCCTTTTCAGACTACAATGTAAAAACACAAAGTGTGAATAAAAAGGCGAACGTTTATCCACAAGTGGGACAAGTTTCAATCCATCTGAACGTTTTGCCGTAGGAGAGTTTTACAATAGATCCACATAATCCTGTTATTCCAAGTGGTCACCCATCTAGGACTAACCAGGCCATGCACTGCTTCCAAGCTCAGTACAGGATAACGGCATGCATTCTACTCTTACATGTTTTACTTTGTTGATTCCATACCAGTATAAAACACAACTCATTCAATGTTAAAGATTTTTTTGTTTGCAATTATCTATTATTGAGTAAAATTGCATTTCATTTTATATTTAAAAATCAAAATACCTAAATAAGAGAATGGCATCAATATTTTTAATCTTATTGGTTTTCCGTTTTTGCGAGTATCTAGCAAAAACAAATGGTTTATTCCTTGATTTTTGTTATTTTCATTTCATTGTTCATGTATTCATTTATATGATTTCCGCCAACTGTATATCAACATAAACATGCATAGCTAACATATGCATAAGCAATATTTAACAGTTCCACCATGTGTCAATTTATCACATTTACAATTATATTTACAACTTTGATAATACAGCTTCAGCTCAAAATGGAGTGGAAAGAGGAAAAGCTATACTCCACTCTATGCACATACTGTATATAATAAAATTCCCTTTTATTAAGGATACAGTTATCGAACATTGAAGTAAGTAATGTTTATTTATATAGAGCCTTTTACAGACCAAGGTCACCCAAAGCGCTTTACAATGTTCAGAGTTCAGATATTGTACCAATCATTCCACACACGGTGTTATTGAAGGATAATTATGCTTTCAGTAATGCCCAGCTTGGTTTTATTATTTGAAACAAGCCAATAATATTGTTCATTGTGCCCCAGCAAGACCCAGTGCCCAATCCCAGGCCAGTTCCTGACACAGTAAGCAATTACCACAACAGTAGACCAAACAGACATGTGTCTTGATGAGTTTTATTGCTGCAGTTTGTCTGTATTGCTGTTTCTACTTGGAAAAACTGTTGGAGTTTAAGTTTTCGTGCATAATCTGCATCACTATGGGATGTGAACAGTTTGAGAAGCACCGCAGAATGACGGATGGCTGCAGTGCTGTACTTACCTGCGTTTGAATTGGTACAGGGTGTAGCCCATCCATAAAGTGCCCAGCATCAGCAGCATACACAGCAATGGCCGCTCACGACTGCAGTGAATGATGGATTCGGGGAAAGCGTTCAAGGCGAAGCCGGCTGCTACACTGCTCCTGTTCGCCACTAACGCATCCACGCTCCGGTGCAAATCTACACTTCTGTTCGATAGTGTTGGAGGGTGGTAGTATCTCTGAAAAACTGAACATCACACAGTCACAACTCTGTAAAAACTGCAATCTTGTTCACCTAAAATGTGAATCTATAATAATAAATTCAATAAATTGTGTACTATGCAGAATATTGATGCTTGGAACATGCCACACTGTGTGGTATTAAAGGGGAGAGGGGTAGGCGACAAGCTATAAAAAACCCAAACTATTTTAACCAATTGCATCTGACATCAGGAAACAGGGTAGAAATCCAGTAGACATTGGTGCAGTTACACCCATGAAAAAGAAGTTCCCAGCATTCTAAACTTTAAATTAAAAGAGCTAGAACAGAAAAATCTTTCAGGACTCATTAAACAGACGCAGAAACAACACTGGTTGTGTCAGTTCAGGTTTCTCACACTTCATCCAAAAAACAAGCTTCTATTGTGCCTCTTTAGGGAACAAGCTACAACTACATCTAAAGAATAAACCCTTTATTAAATCACTTATTCTTTCAGAATGCTAATGGTGCTATGCAGCTCAATGTATCAGATACAAACTTTCAGCTATGCTCTTATTTTTCTACAGCAATAGTAGGGCTACCACGGATTTCATGTTAAGGTTTTTCCACCTTACATTTGTTTTTGTTGAAGGCTGTACAAATTAGGAACATACTAGTATACTACTTATTAAGTTGCATACATTAGTTGCAGTATATTAAGACATTTTATTCGTCAAATCTATGCATCCATCTCACTGCTGAGCAGTGCATTTCCACTTGCTATACTTGCCAATATACATTTTCATATACATTCTTATTACCTCCAAAGCACATATCTAGACTGAATATTTGAAGTCCTTGTAGTATAATGCTGTATATTTGATAAGACAGATACTCAGTCGCTCCTTGTGCCACAACACAGGACCAGCGGTTCACCAAAGACATATCAAATGTATTTGCTCTGCACAAAGCAAAGTATTTGGGATTGAAAGTGTCAGCAAAACGCTTCAAGTTAATGTTATGGTAATGGAATCTGTGGGAGTGAATTTTACAAATAGAGTCTCAAAATTGAATAAAAACAGCAACATTCTCACCATCGATAGTTTCCAAATTATACTGTGCAATGCATTCGCTTTTTAAAGACATGCTGCAGAATAAAGTGAATAGTGCCCGAAGCAGGAAATAAAGTCAGGATAGATTTCCTGCATTTGAATAAGAACCTTTAAGTGCTTTGACCCATAAAAGTACAATAACTTTACAAACATTTTGAGTATATTCAATCTGATTACATTTTTCTATTACATAAAGATTTGTCATAAAGTACAATTGCTCTTGAAGAATCCTACTTTAATGAATACTGCAACATACCGAGCTCTTGAAACAAGTAGAGAAGATTGTGATTAGCTACAATGTTGAGATGGTTATTGTAAAATAGACTATTAGGAGAAGTGCAGGACTCAACAGACTGGACTCATTAGGCAGTGGAATCATTGCTGAAGGTTTTTAAAACGGAGATGTGCTGTAATTGGCTACGGGGATGACACTTTGTTCAGGCCAAGATGCTGGTGACTGTGACAGCAGGTGTGACGCCCAATTTGTGATTAGTCATAGCCTGCTACCAGTTCCTGATCAGCACCATCACTGGGCCATTCCCCTGCCCACACGAAAGCACACAATCCCAAAAATTATTTACGTTGCACCTGTATATACATGCAAAAAGTTCTATACAATTAAGCATGAGACAAACCCTATAGAAATACTTACTTTTAACTGTGCCTTTGACTGCATCAACAACAAATGCAATTGAAATGAACAGTGCTATGACCTCTTCAGTTGACCTGAAACGCAAAGAGACATGTGAATATAAAAATGTGAATAGACAGGGATATAAAACAGGCAGCATATCATTGTATTTTACGGGATACATGTATGTACAAGTTTGAGACCTTTTAAAGAGCTTCATTAGTAGACTGAGGTTGAAGATGCCTCCCAGTATGAGAAATAAACAGTTCCAGAGGCCGATGCAAGCATAAAATGCTGGGAAGTCCAGATTGTAGTCATCACATATACCTCGAATGACTGCAGGGTAAAAATGCGGTTACATTTAACATTTCCACTTTTCCATTTGCCCAAACGCCAGCACCAGCACTAAGAAACAGATAGACTGATCACTGTAAAAAATGCCTGCTTAGGTATTTGATTGGAGTAAGGTTTTGCTTTTTCATTGAAGTAATGTTTTGAAATTTTAAAGCTGCCTGGTGCTAACTGGTGCTGAAGGTTTAGAAGAAGTAATTATGTTGTATACATGGAAATATTGCACAAAGACAAAGACTCTTATGACATAGGTTTTTACAACAGTTATAAAACATTCATCAAAACAGGACTAAGAATTTCATTCAGATCTTAAAAATACTATAGCTCATAAAAACAGGGCGATTGGGGCGTAATGTTGAGCAGATTTTTGCACTGATGAGTTACAACCTTACAAATAGACCATTGTTCTGCTGAGGTTGGCTGCTGGATACACAACCACAATTATCCCTCTGAGAATGTGCTTCATAAAACTCTAACCTATTTACTTCAAACATGGCCTCACCACAAACAGGCAAACGTTTCTGGTATTATTATGAGAGCACATAGGCATCGCAGCCTCACCACAGGCCTGATCCGTCAACACGCTTTAGATCCAAACTACTGCTGCTGGCTAATGGGCAGACCACACTTATGTTCTGTTATCTATGTGTGCTGAATATAAAGTATACATGTCCGTGAGTTAGTTTCTGACCCTAGGCTTTTGCTAACCAGCTCTTGCATAATGACAGTGTTCAGGGAAAAAGCAGGAATTTGTGGATGCAATTATTCGGATGATGTGGTTTTCTCTTTTATTCAGACAGGGTATTTGATGTTTAACATAATCTCCTTACTTTCTGTTTTTTATATCCATATGACTGAAAACAGGCAATGATGTCTACTAAAACTGTGGTAAAATAATGACCTGAATCACAGTCTTTTTTGAGGAAATGTTCAGGTAATTGGTAACATACCGCTGATGAAGATGGCTAGAGGGGCAGTGGTCAGTGGAATGACCAGAGGAGAACCTGCAAACAGTGAGTAAATGACCCCTCCGATGCTTTGCCCAATGATGGTTTTACGAACATCTACAAAAAGGAGAGAAGGTCACACATAAAGCTATTAAAAAGCTCCTATGAAATGATTACTTTACAATTTGTCATAAATTTAAGAAACCTCAAAGCCAGACACATAGACAAATTTTACAACTGGCAGCTGCTGAAGGACCATTATACATTTCTGCTCAGAAAAGGATGACTGAGGAGAAGAAAAAACAGACTGAGGAGATTATTTTTTTTTGCATTGTTTATTGTGTAATATTCTCACTGACCTCAATTAAGGCTGTTACACAACACTAGATAAAAGGCTGTTCTCTCGGATCAAAAGATCTAAATGAATGGAAAATAAAATACATCTTTTAAGCTTTACTTTACCTATCTCTCCTCGCGTACTCTCGTCATTGAGTGAGCCAAACGCGATGGCAGGGAGGAGGATGGCAATGTAGAGAAAGATGGCCGTCGTCATGTACTTGAGCAGCGTTTTATTACTGCCAACAATACCTGAGGGCACAAAAACACACAAACCCATGAGTCACATCCAGCCCGTAATGGAGCGAAGGAGGCCCTCGTTTCCCAATGACACAAACAGCAGTTCATTATTCAACAGAACATGCAGGTAAACCACTGCAGCTCGCACTATTAAAACTGCTCATTTGGCTCCAGGTCGTCCATCATATAGAGCTGTTATTGCCTTTACCCTAATGATAGATTGGTCACTTTGGCATAAAACAACAAAATGGAGACTTAATATGATAGCACTGATTTGGAAAGTGTCATTCTGCTGCTATGACCATTATAATCCAATAGTTCACTGGACACAAGATAAATGTGGGTTATTACAATCACATTTTCAAATAAAGCTCTTGTTAATACAGTTTAAAAGGTATTTTGAGCTAAATTCATAATGTATGAGATAATCTGGTTTGAAAAAGGTCGAGACATGAGGTCCTGCTTATATGCTTGAAATAAATAAATCCATTGGTGGCTTTAAAATCAATCACAAATGTAAAACTGTATTCAATGGAGTTATTTGGAGGTAACCGAAAACTTAAAAATTCTTCTCAAGCTACAAATTGAAAAGGCCGCCCAGTCATGTATCGTTAGTTATGTAGGCAGTTAGTGCTAATCTTAGAAACTCAAACCATCTAAGGATATTAATTATCGGTAGCTGATACAATCAAACTCACTGTAAAACTCAATGAATTGTGAGATTGACCGATGAAAGTAGATACATTAAAACATCGAGTTGTGTCCATTGTCTGAGCAGTGGACAGTTGCACGGGCAATAATCTGCTTGATGAAAGGGGGGCTGATTTGATGGGTCAATAAAACCTGCAGGGAGCAAAATCCAAACGCACCTATGTTTGATGGGAAACAACGATAGTGGACAAGCCGAGTATATTCCAACAAGAAAACAACATGGATGGTCAATTTAAATTGGAAATGACACAAATGACGCACAGGTGTATTTGAGGCAAAGGGTGAGTGACCAGTAAGCACTGCCATCATTCTTCCCGCAGGGTGGCATAATAAGGAAATGATTATTAATTCTGGTCACTAGTCAGGCCTACCATCTGTGAAGTCTGACATGTAGAAAGGCAGTCTCCGGCAGAAGTCTTCGTAAATCCCACGGCCAGCTTTGAAGAAATCTTTACACTGTAAGATAAAAAAGACAGTTTGTCATTTGTCTGACTGGTATATTAATAATTATATTCACATTTTAATTAAAAATATATATCAACAGGAAGATTCTTATTAAATGTCTTTACCCCCAGACCATATGTCGATAGAATTGTCTTCAGTGCTAAATAATTCAAACTGATGCTAATGAACTTTTGGAAATAATCTTTTTGAATAATTAGTAAAATAGCTCTCATTATACACACACATATGCTGTGCAGCGTTGGACCTCATTCATATTGAAAATTAGTCATATGTTGGCCAATGAAGACAACTCTTAAGCCATATTCGGACGGGATTAGTATTACCTGTGGACCCCTGGTAATTTGTGATAATCACGGAAGACATCTGAGATCTTGCAGTGCATTCACATGGGATAAGCAATGTCTGTAATTTTCACTGACATCTGACATAACGGCTGCACGTGCGCGGGTCTCTCTGCTTCATGCAGTTCATAAAGATTGGCGTCTGACCACAGCAGCCACAGGGACCGTGAAGACAAACGCATAAATGTGAATTTTACTGCTCTTCAGTTCTATGGCCCTTATTGTCTGCAATCTTAAACTATACTGTACTCTGCTAGCATACGCGCAAGCCCACAAGCAGTAACGGCTGAATCAACACGTCTGTACTGTATAACCACAGAGTGCAGAGTAAACGTACGAACGCAAACCATCAGTCTGATCATTTAGTGTCAGTGAACACATTACACTGTCCTCTAAACTTCTCCATAGACCTCAGAGACAGCAGCAGCCGCGACTCCGCAGGGTTTCACAGCCGCGAAAGGAGACTCCTCTCTTCACTGACAAAAAACAATGCAGAAAGTAAAGCGAAAGCGGCAAGAGCGATCACGATCACTAACATGCAGATTCGCACGGGATTAGTATTATCAGAGAACGTCTGTGTTTGGACAAATACAGGATGTACTTTGTGGCGGAATTATTACTTTACAAATAACAGACATGGCGCATTCGCACGGGACTAAGATCTCAGACGTCTTCCGTGATTATCACAAATTACCAGAGGTCCCCATGTAATACTAATCCTGTCCGAATAGGGCTTTACTTGATTTAGCAAAAAGTGATATTTATTTTATATCATAACAATGACTGGATTCACCAGATGAACTTCTATAAAAAATACTTGATCACTGATCCCACATTTACCATACTATAACCTATCCTCTGATGAGGTTCTGCAATGTATACGCTGTGTGGTTTATCCATCAAAGAATTATGTTCACCTGAAATATTTCCATTTCACTTATAACAAAGAGGGCCTGACAAAATACTTGAGCCCTTGAATCCGTACTATGCAGAGGGATTATGGGCCCCATTAGAGTATAATGCTACTTGTGTCGATTTTTTCAACACCAATCATTTCACTAAGCTATGAGTATGTCAAAAAAAAAGTTCATTTATTAGTCCCATATATGTACAGTGCCCTCTCCAGGTGGGTGGAAAGGTCCTTGATTGACAGACAGATCGGTACAGTGTGTCCAGTGATGCCGTCGCTGTATCAGACCGGTCAATCCACGTTCCCATCTCATCTATGGTCATGAGCTTTGAGTAGTGACCAAAAGGACAAGATTGCGGAGATACAAACAATAGTATAAGTATAGTATAATAATAGAAGTCTGGATGTCTTTACTTAGACCACACTCCCCGCTGTAGATCAGGGCCGCTCAATACGTCGAACGCAATCTACCAGTCGAAGGCAGGGAGGGGAGCTCGCACAACATGTGAGTTCACACGCAACATTTACTTGTTCATACTACATGTCAACAGTGTACCACCAGCCTCTTATGCGCTTCCTCATAGAGCCTGTGTGCTCCAGCCATTTTAATCCATATAGGCACGGGCCGCGGCTGACGCGCACCGACATACTGTACATTTAAAGTATAAAATAAACTTTTACAATATGAGAAACACTACACAAGATCACACTTGTAAGTAAATATGTAAACTGATCATTCAAGTATTTATTTCCTGCCAATGTGAACAAAGACAATGACATGGTCATTACTTGATCGTGACTCGCATGCAATAGGAATTGAACCAAGTATAATATTCTGAATCATAACACTCCCACATAAATCTGAGGTCGATCACGGCTCAATGGTTACTGTAAAAGTACATCTTGGTTTGACAAAGTGTGGGCACCTCTGCTGTAGATGCTATATGTTACCGTCTCTTGCTGCAGTGACCTCTAAATCCAAAAGGCTGTGCCTAACTGTGAGCCTCCCTTTATCCTGTGCTGTGCTTGGGACCATCTCACATTATCCATTATCTTTACTGCCGTCTCTCCGTCCTCCCTGGTGACATTAGAAGGAAGGTACACTACAGGCTGGCAGTTCATCACTTGCCTGACGAACAGACTGACACCATTCCCACTCGCTCTCACACCTTCAGACAATTTGGGGGCAGCAATTAACCTGCACGTCTCCTCTGGACTGTGGGAGAAAGAACGAGCATAAAGGACATCAGATGCCACCAAGAACACCACAAACCACAGAGCTTTACTAACAAATATGATTGCCGAGGAATAGCATCACCAATAAGGTAAATGAGTCCATTTACAAAGCATAATAATGCAGAGTAAGTTAAAAAAAACACATAGAAATTGACGCAATTTTGAAACCTGTGGAGAAGTTGCTTGTGGCTCCAGACCTGAGGATGCTTTCAAAGACTTATTACTCAAACTTTGTAACTAAAAAATTTGTAAATAAAGTTGCTTCCGTACTTACATCATAAGCAAATGTAATTACACAACTATATTTTCACACATGATCAGCTGCTGCAGCATAAATCATTGCATTTCCGCACTACTCTTAAAAGAACATGATTCCTTTTAAGTTTTGTTTTTACTTTGCGTAACAAAACAAGAAAAGTGATGCTGAACAAAATGAGTAAGTACCCTATACCCGGCCAAATACATACATGTGCAATTTTCCCTGTGCGCTCAAATGCTCCTAGTTTTTCTCACTTCAATTAGTGTGCATGGGTTTGTAAGAGTCTCTATCAATAGGATAAATTGTAGGATGCGGAGAATACGGTGGTATATGTTTAAGGTACTAATATTCAATTTCGTTATAAGATAATGTCAAGCGCTCAAAACCAATTCTGTCATATTGTTTAAGTATATATAGCGGAATTATGTCTGAGACGTACAGTGTAACCAAACTGTATTTTCAACACCCTCACAGACCTCCACCTGTCATATATTTAATAGGATATCCCTATCCTTATATCCCTTGTTGTTTTGAATATAAGTTTATACATTTGGCTATTTTTTGAGGTTCCCCTTCATTCCATGCCTGTCCTCTTCCAATCTTGTCTATGACAATAAATCCCTGGTTTGTTGAGTGGCACAGAGCCGTTCAAGCCCTGGGATAAACACCTAACACAATTCAGTAGTTTCACCAAAAAAATGAAAAAAAAATGAAAAAACACAGGACCGGTTGGAATGTCTGGAAGCCCTGGCCTGTCAGCTGCAACATTAGCTGGATATGTTGGTGCGTGGCATTGGGCAGAAACCAAAGGCAGGGGAGTAGTGACAGCGCAGTGAGAGATGTAAGGTCATTTAGCCATTGAGGAGGGCTGGCAGGAGCTGATGCTGATTGATTAGAGGCACGAGAAAGATGGAAGAGTGGAGGCGAGAGGAGGAGGTGAAAAAAATTCACGAGATGTGTAAATGCGTAAACACAGTTGCAGCTGTGAAGAGGAGACAATTGAGCCGACGCAGAAAATGGCACAAGGAGTAAGAGATGCCAATGTGGGTATCCTGGGAAAGGGGTTTTTCACATGTAAAATGAATGTATTCTTTTTGTTCATTCAAATATCAGGGCTGTAATTAACAATGTGATGTACAAATTTGAAAACGTATTGTTCTCCATCAAGTCCACCTACTATTTGGGAATTGGGGCACAGTGATGAAGATGATAATAGTTAACGATCAATGTCATCATGATGAACTGTTTGATTCAGTTTGTTAGCGTGTTGACGACTTGTACAGTCCACTGAGATAACTAATGTTGTGATTTAGGGCTATACAAAAATACATTTAATTGAATTGAATCATTATTCATGTAACATTTTGCACAAGTTGCGTATGGCACTGATCATTATGAGATGCGGTTCCCAAATGAGTAAAATAAAACTTAAAATGGAACAAACTGGATCAAAACTCGAGCTGATGCCCTTGAGTCTGTTAATACATCCATGGAGTCTTGGCTGTCCAATATCTGTTTTCTGTATTCATTCATATCTGTATTCATACTGTTTACCTACTTAGTTTATACAGATTATGGAATAGGAGAAGGATTAGGAGCAGAAATATGGTTTTGTATTTGGATTTGACATCAATTTTCTAGATTTGAATGTACAAAACATAGATAGACTATAAATCATCTGCCATTTTACTTAAAGGTGTTTTGTTAAACTTTTATTTGACTTAATTTTCATATTTGACCTTGGGGCTGTAAGAGTAAGTGATCAGTGTGGGTTTCCATCACAGTGCTCTGTAGAATTCTCTCGGATCAACTGTTTTGAAACTTTTCTTTTCGATGAGGGGCCGGTAGACACAACCATGGTCAAAAGGACTACAGACAGAAGGTCAAGAATGCAAAAAAGGTCACATAAAAAATACTATAAATACTATACAATACTATACATTCAGCAGGACAAGTCTTAAGTGGAGCATACATTTCTTTGGACTATTACAGCCCTGCTCTACACATGATCCACTGGTACTGAACTCTGTGTACAGAAGAGAGCACACCTTGAGTGGCTTCAGGCTGCGGGGGTCCGTCTCCTCCATGCCCAGAGGAATGGGCAGAGTGTTGGTTGCTGTCAGTTGCTGCCTCTGAAACACCAGTGCTTCCTTGAACTCCTCCTGCGTCTTGGTCTCTAAAAGCTTCTGCCTGAACGAAATGTCTGAGAACAGAGTGGCGAACGTCCTGCCTAGCTCCATTGCAGTCTTCGTGCTTTTCTGTGGAGACAGCAGATTAAAGTGGTTAGACCTAAAAGAAGCTGAAAGCGCGTAAAGGGGAAACTATTTATTTCATATATTTCCCTTCTGTTCCATGAAAAGCCTTTGTACAGAGAAACTTTTGTTGATTCTGAATGTGATTTTCTGGATTGCTTTGCTTTCAGGGTGGTTTCTGTTGTGTGTAATTCAGTATCATTTCCAAGTCTGTGAGGAGACCCGGTGAGGGGCAGAATGGTGATAATAATGGCCTGGCTGAGCACAGGCCGAGAGGAGTGTGGTGCCAGGGAAGCCTTGTGGTCCAGGTGGTGCTGATACTACGCTGTGCCCCGGGCGAACAGAGGCAGCTGCAGCAAACAGAGTAACCAAAGCCTATAAGCTTTCCCACACTGGCCACAGAGTCAGACGGATTAATGCGCTCTCAAATGGGCACCAGAAACACTACCTTCAAACAGTTAATGGGAAATGTTTGTGGTATTTTATAAAGGAATGGTTGTAGCAAATATCTTCAATTAGTCGGTCAAGGTTAGTAATCAATATTTTGTTTTTTTATTTAGATGAACCCGATGAGTTTCTTGAAGACCAACTTCATGTGAATATATCAAGATATACTGTATATGATAGAACTGGTTTGTACAAAACATGAATGAGAAACAGTAGCATGTTTCAGAAGATTGTACTCAGCAGATCCATTATCTGCTTAAGTGGACGAATAACTGCAGATGTCGCTGTAAGGTCCAAATTGCTGGATTGCATAAATTTGCCAACCAAAGGAATTCCTATTACCATCCTTTTTTTTTCTTGTAGAAGCAGTCGCCATGAGGACTAATTGTAACATAACACTGCTTTATGCTTACTTGGCTTTCAGATGAATGTCTGAGAGAATGCTATGAGCCGTTGTGTTGCTTCCCATAAGATTAGCAAAGATGAATCAAGGCGTACAAAGAAAAATGAATGGAATCCATGGGAAAATAGAATAGTCAAATTAAAGTCAGATATATTCCAAAAATATATGATAGCAATGCTGCAGTGGTAGCTTAAGTCTGCCACATAAACTTGAAATTGCAATAAAAATTGCAGCAGAGTTGTATTATAAACAGGTATGAATAATTCTTGTTAAAAAGCTATCAGTTTTGCATATAATTGCTTCTTGGGCAGGTAAAAATACACATTTTACAGTAGGGAACCATTTGCGACCCATAAACCTGCTTGACTTGATAACGTAATGTCAGTGTGGCCTGCACTGAGAGCCAGAGATAATATGGCAGTTTTACATAATTTTTCAGGTTCATTATTTTCAAGCAAATATATTTATAAAATTATAAAGATTAAACAATAGGCAATACTTATTAATCAGCCTAGCATCTTTATTTTTATAGTTTTGGGCAACTGAAGACATTAGGTTCCGAAAAAATCGTAGACAAGAAATGGAATGGAATTTGATCAAAATTCCTTCATAAAAAAGAAGAGACAAAGATGGGATCAAATTATCATTAATATGAATTTGCATTTTCATGTAAATTGTCAAATTGTCTCAGAAATGATACAAATATCACACTGTGCCACTTTAATTTGAATGTCAGTCATATTGTCACTTTAAACAGTTTTTCTCATGGGTAAAGGCAAAAATAAAACTTAATTTGGCTCATGGTTGGTGCCAGGTTGGGAATACATGTGTAAGAAAGTACAAATATATTTCCAACTTTAAAGTTTGAGATGAATTTAAACAGACCACTTAACCCACTTAAAATAGAACAAAATATATATATTAAGGGGAGTCATGGTCAATTGGTCTTTTCAATGATCTCTGGATTTTAAAATGTACTTATTCATAAACCAGTTGGAACTGATGTGAAAAGCGAGGGGCTGCTGGTAGGTTGGGTAGGAGCAAAACGAAAGAGAATTCAGAAAAAGATTAATATTTAAGCTAATTTGTCATTTAAAAAGCAATCTGCAAATGTCCTAATAATGTCCCTGCAGGGAGAGGGTGGCTAGTACCATTTTGAGTGGGGCCAGCACCAAGATGACATAGCGGACTTCACAACAGTTTTCCCCCCAGTTCTGAGGCCGCTCGAGGCGCGAGATGCACACGTGACGTCGCTGCAGACTCTTGACGTTACATCTGAGAAGAGAGAGAGAGAGAGAGAGTTTTTTATAAATGTCAACTGCTCACCTCAGCCGCTCTGCCCTTCATTTCCATAGATTAACCTCTTTCTGGACTCCAACATTTGGGCCATGATGCTCTTTAATGCACAAACACGATGGAAATGTGACAGTGGACATCCTATTATAATATGGTCTTTATATATTTCCCACAAATGTGTGTCAATAAAGCTTTGTAACCACATATGTAGGTTTCAATAAGTAACAGATCCTAATCAAATGACACAACTTATACTCACACCTACCGAATTTAACTTAAAATAGACCTAGGTTAGCAGTAAACACGTTTTCTGAACAAAATACTAAAAAGAAATCAACACCGAAACCAGTAACAAAAACAAAGGCCCGTTATTCTATATTGCATACAGATACACAGATAATGTAAAGATAGCAGTCATCTTTAGACAGCAGTGATGTTAAGTCAGCAGTAATATCTTTACCTTACCTTCACCATAAACAGAACAGTTATATTTGTTTACAAAGAGATTATAGAACATAATTGAGTCTTACAGGATGCAGAGCCAGGACTGCTGGTATCGGACTCCCGTAGCTGTGGCCGTCACTCCCTGGATGGTCTCTGACAGAAGGTGAACTGAGGATCAAGAAAATACAAAGTCAAACAATGCAAACATGCAGAATCAATCTAAATGTTTTTAACTGTTGGCATGAATTCAGATGTTTATTTTACATTTTTTGATGTCAATTACTTTACATTGCATTGGTCTCTGCAGAAAGTTCTGAATCCTATTTTGAATGTGGATCCTCCTGGACTGTGCCAAGTTTCTCAATGTGACGCCTAGATCAAAAGAATCTAACGAGCCTGCCTTCTGCTTTCGAGGGCGATGCTAGACTCTGTTTGCAAACTCCAGCACAGCTTAATAATGATGTCCGTCTTGGCCAGAACACCACCAACGCTTTCAGCTACGGGGTTAAAACAACACAATTTTGCCTGTGCTGCTATGTGTGCACAAAGTGACTAATTTCAGTGGCAAAAGTTGAACTAAAGTTTCAAGATAATATAAGGAATCTCCCTTTTTCTGTGCAAGTAATTGTGTGTTTAGGGGGATTCTTCAGAAGCTGCAAGCTTGCGATTATCCCAAAATCCTCTGAGTTGGATTACTTCCTATTTCAAACTGCCCTCTGATTCATCAGACATGAAATGTTCAGCGTGTGTAAATGTTTGGATCTCGTAAGCAATGGGACCAGAATTTCCATATATATTTATATATTTATGTTTTTTCTCTTCTCCCAATCTTTTCTTTTCTTTCTCTCCTCCTCTTGCCTTCAATAAAGTATCTCTCCCATTCATGCCAGAAAATGATGGGCGTCACCATGACAACAGTATCACAGGAAGAGCGAATAAGACGGAGGGGGGGCACATGGGGAAGAATGGATGAAAAGAAAGCTTGTAAGGGAAGAAAATGACATGAGAGTCAGATAGACAGGCAGACAGACAGCAACTGGCAAACAGTAAAATATTCAAGGAAGACTAACCAGGCTATGGGAATGAGAATATACACGACAGGAATATGAAAATGAGGGCGACAAGGGGGAAAGGGACAGAGGAGAAGAGGGAGACGGACTGCGATTCAATTCAATTAATGGCAGTGAGGCTGACAGCCATGTAATAATCAAAAACCATCCAATTTCTCATTGACGTCAAGGAGGGAGAAGAGAGAGAAGGGGTGAACAAAAGAATGATTGCATGATAAAGCGAAAAAGGAAAGTAAAGAATGAGCTAGCAGTGTTAGCCACATAGCTTTATATTGACAAATGTTTTTGTTACAGACAGACATGGCTTCACAGTTGGGAGTCATTTACAGAGCGGCACTGTGGCTGTGGTTCCCCAAGCTGAATTCTTATTGACAAACAGGTCGATAAGCTCATGATTGGTCCAGCAACACCACTTGACTTTAGATGGGCTTTAAATCCCTCTAATGCTAATAAACAGTGATCGATATGTGTGAACCAGGTGTTTAATTGACACTATTATCCCTATTGTGTGTTTATCCACTTTCCCATCTACAAGATTACTATGAGGTTTTGTTTTGGACACAGCTTTTGTGTTTCAGTCCTTGAGTCACGACATGCCACTAATGGTCTGAACATGTAAACATAAATTAAACTCTTAAATTATAAGAATTGTGAGGAACAGTGTATATGGGACAGCTGTCATTTATAAGCCGTCTGTAATATGTTTTATAATGTGAGTCTTGTCTTTTGGTGTGGACCTGAATGAAGAAATGATGATAATATTTTAAAAAGCCAACATTAAATCTTGAAATAGATTGATTGTGTTTTAAAGTATAATGAAGAATAAATAGTGAATGTTGTGAAACCTGCATGAGACTGGACTTTACCCAAATGGCATGTTCTGCAGTGCCTTGCTTGTCTGAACTTCTCTAGACAGATTTGCTCCTAGGTCTACGGGTAAAGAAGGTGCTAATCAGCCCTGGGTCCAGACACAGGACGGAGCAGGTGCCTCGCTCCAAATGTGAACACATAAAAGAAACTGCTGTTGAGTTTAAAGCAGTCAGATCATGCGCAAGATCAATTAGAATTGATTTTGTCTGAAGAAATCAGAAGTTTAAATTGTGCAAGATAGGTTAGACATTTCACAAGAACACAGTTAACATTTGAATTTAAGATATATACATTTACTTCATAGTTGTGATCACACAAGCAATATCATTAAGCAACTGTATAAAATGCATTATGAGAGACTGAGTAATGTAATTTTGTCAAATTTTTGGAGGACTTCACCGTTTCCCTAGCATGACCTCATAACTCATCGAACTCAGCTCTACTTCCTTTACATTTCTATATATTTTCCTCGGTTTAAATGTTTGAACTAGGGTTAGTGCATTTCTGTTTATCAGGCAGGGGATTCTGCGAAAAGACATTTATGTGTCGAGGTTTTATTTCAGTACAGACCCCACACAGAGGTCAGTGGAGGTACACGTGTATACCCGGCTCCTCTGGACCCAGCCTGTCATGAGGCAGCTACAGGAAGTGAGTGATGATAATTCTGTTGATAATCATGAGGTTTCGCTGGTCCTGATCAGTGTATCTACAATCTTCTACAAAGCATTTCTTGTTTAGAGGAAGTCGGACTAAAGGTGTGAAGGTTCTGATCAAGGGAGAGACTAATTAAGCCACACCCATGTGATGACTGTCAGTTATTTGAAGATTTCTGCTGCGTTTCATCAGCCTTCTTCATTCAAACAAAGCTAAACCCATAACCAGGAAGAGGAACAAGAGCAAAAATAACACGCACAGCATATCAAATATGACAGACTTCAATGGAAACTGATGAAAAATATGATCATGGAAAGGCAGGGTTGGTCTTTTGATCTAAAAATGTCTTTGAATGTATTAGACATTAAGATTTGGATTATGATATATTCTGTTTAGCCATTTTTGAGCATGTCATAAAATGTGTGTTCTGAAGTATAATTAAGGCAACATTACTTGAATAGCATGATATAAATGTATGTCAAATCTAGGTTTGAGGACAAGAGGTGCAGAGTATAGCTATTTGTAAAATATAAAAACTTAATTTACCTAATTTATCCCAGTAACTGACCTTTTTAACCGAAAACAGTAAATGATTTCACATTGTTTTTCTGCCAATGAATGTCTTAACTAGGAGTGGGACTCAATTAAAATATGTATAATTAATCGTAACATTTGAAATGAATGAATGAATTGAGTAATGACTGAAAACATATTTTTTAACAGACCAGTGCAGCTTTTGCCATTAAGTGTAGCTGTCTGTTTATTTACATGGTAAGGTTGTTTGACCATAATCTTCATCATAAAACATGTCGATGTAGAATTTTGAGTATTCATTTTAGATTTACAGGCGATCTTTCACCTCCAGAAAGGTATTTATTGTTAATTTAGGCCCTGTCCACACGAAGTCAAGCTCAGGCCTAAACGCAAAAATACTTTATCAATCCAGTGTATCGTCCATACGAGGCCGGCGTTTTGGGGGGGTGTAAACGAACATTTTTGAAACCAGGTCCCAGAGTGGAAAGATTTCAAAACTCCGTATATGCCGCTCCGTGGTTACTGCCTCTCCGCAATGTATCTGAGACGCTTGCGTCATCGCCCCGCCTCTTGTTAAAGCACGCATGCGCCGCACTCAGAAAATAATGACAACAACAATGTAGCTTGTTGGTTTTGTAATCCAGTGTGACCCGAAGCAACAGTTCAACCTCATCGTCCGTCCATACTAATGTAGTACCAGCTCGCCCACTCGCCATGTTGTCTGTTTACAAAATTCAGCTCATGCCCACGGAAGTTTGGGCTTGATCCCGTCATTGCGTCACAGCGCCACCAACAGGTCTGGCATAGTTTCACAGCGTTTTCAGGCGTATTGACTACATTCATATGGACGCACACATTTACTGAGCTAACTCCGTGTTTACAGAAAAAGTTTCTGAAATTATAAGCGTTTTGTCTTCGTGTGGATATAGTGTTAATCTACAAGTTTATAAATAACAACATTGTAATTGTTAGTTTACTTTTATAGACTTAAGCAATAGTGAGGCTGAGAAATTTAAAGCATTAAAGATGTGCCTTTTATGTTGTAATTTACAGTAGAAACAGCTGCTATAGCTGCTATAATTTCTCCTAATTTCTTTATGCGACTGATTTTCGTATTTGTGGAGACTGTATTCTGTTGGTGCATGAAATGGCCTCCGGTGATGTTGGCAGGGGGAATCTTTATATTATGCTCAGGGGTGACCTCAATAAAATCTCTTGATCTTCAGCTACCTAAAAGATTAACTGGTCTCAACCATTGTCAGGACACACGCGGCACACTAACACACGCAGGAAATGATTGGTTTCCTTCAAAGCGTGGGCTGTGGAGGGCACTTTGAAGGAGGTGATTAAAACACAGTCAGTGAAACACTTACTGTATATTATGTTTGGGTCTGGGCCAATCACAAAGCAGCACATGCAAGTTATGAAGTCATGTGACAATGAGATGACTGCGAGGACTGGGTCAACTGTCTTATGTGGAGAGGAAGTGACAAGCAAAGTAAGCTCTATTACATAAGCAATAGGAAAACACTCCAAACGCCATGGCACGATATACGAGTCCATTTTGCTTCCCAAGGAAGGTGCCTCCAAATCTGAAACCACTCTGTATTCAGAATGAAACCTCTTTTCTTTGGCTTTAAACAAGGCACTGATAGCATTATTGGACAATGAGACCAGTGAATGCAGGGTGTTGATTTTAGGGGCAGCTGAAGAGGCACTGCTGTCTGTGACATGGGAGTCTTTGCTGATATGTATAATCATTTGATGACTCAATGGATCGACCCAGTCCTGCGCGTGGAGAGCAACACAAGCGGCATACTGATGGTGATTGGTACAGAAGCACATCGCTGATTGCAGCCTCACAGAGACTGACATTTTCATCCAATTAGCAAAGCTTACCGTCATCAAAGAAAACGAAACTTTGAGAGTTGTCTGCATACCATGAAGCAGCAAGGAACAGAAAAACCAAAAGATCGTACATTCATTTTTGTTAAAGACATCATAAAGCAGTTTTCCGGGGCTAAAAGACAAAACCATGATAACAAAGAATAAAACTACTTCACAGCAATCGCTTCAGGTTCAGAAATGATTGAGCTTGATTTAAGTTACACATTTTATTGAAGATGTGGCAATAACCTAGGGAAAGATTAAGATGAAGAGATCCTTTATTCATCCCACAGTGGGGACATTTCAACACCTGGATCATCTCGATATAGATGCACATTTTGAACAGCTTGCACATAAATATCTCTGAACAGAGTTTAATTTCCTGCCCTCCTTTACCTCATGCATATTAAATATTTTCCAGAGAAAATCCCTCACTGTCTGCACTTTGTTGGGAGCAGTGTGATCTTGATTACCGTCTACGGGCTAATACCAGAAATTGGATTTTATCACAGATAACGTGTTCATGTTTAGTAAAGAAACCTAGAGATGCTGATGAAGAGATCAAATTGAGGGAAAAAGTTACAACTATGGCCAGCATTTTTCATGTGCTAAAGAGGTTGAATTAGGGCTTTAATTTAGTATTCAAATCATTTCTGCAGAATGTTCCGAAGAGATTTTCACAGTGAAAAGTCTTGCCGCCGGCTTGGAGAAAGAAAAATTATTACAACAGAGAGGCATAGCAGCTCCATTTAAAAATACAGCACAGTTCCTGGTGAAGCAAGATAATTATAAGATGAGTATTTTTTGTCTCTCAGTATTAAAAAAATCTTTAGGCCGTTAATTCCATTAGAAATAACATTACAACATATTACTATTTCACATTAAGTGACAGAAAGTACACAATTGTCTGTATTTAAAATTCATGTATTTAAAATAATGTATGTAAAATTAATGTATTTAAAATAAATATATTGTCTCCTACTCTTTACCCAATTGGTAAGTTTTTACCATGTTTATTTACATATATCAATATAACTAAATGTATGGAGATAATAAATAGGAGTATGGAAATCCAGGTGAAGAGGAGAGCCAGAAATATCTATCAAAGGTGACAGAAATTTAGGGAGAAATAATGGTACAGTCGCTACAAATAGGGCACACAATCAGAGCGTTACATTGCACTACAGCATGGTTCGTGAAAAAAAAAATTATAACATACATCATCACTGCTGCAATTGACAATTAGATAAACGTGGAAGGGAATCATCAGCTTCATCATTTAATAATCACCCGCGGAGCCTATGTAGTTTATAGATTAGAAAGCATAAATCAAACACTGACCGATTCCCCATCATCACAGCCCCTGTTAGTGGAGGAATTTATTAGTGAGGCAAAAAACATTATGCAAGCATGACAAAAACAAGCATGCAGAGAAACCTGTGACTAAATGTGGGATTAAAAGTGAAAAAATACTATTATAGCAAAATGTTGTGGTGCTAAAATATTAATATTGTGGATTGGTGTATCAAAAAAGGCCGTGAGTAGTTAGGATATGATGTTAGGAAGACCAGACACAAGTTTTGAGATTATCTGTGGTGTTGGTGGGGCATGTACGGCTTGTACGAGTATATTGCATGTGCAGTAAATCCAACATTGCATAGATCAAGACATTATGAAACTTGACCCATGTGTTATGTTAAAATGAATGCATTATTGGGGAATTAAGGACATAAAAAAGGCTGGGACTGGGAGGATCTTTTGCATCATCTGTAAAAAGTGTTCTGCACAAATCCCAAAACGGCACCAAAAAACAGGACATGTTTGCCTCAAAACGAAAAAAAAGGAAGAAGGGTACTCCTCTGTTCGAGTTGGACTAATTATCTCAAAAGTTCTTTCATCTTTTTCTTTTCTTTAATTCTTTGTTCCTTGGGCGCTGGTTATAATCATGGTCTTTTCTCTTTATCTCACAGCTGTACAGTATTAGGATCCAAATGAGCTGGTCTCCTCACCAGCTGTAGCACCCCGAGATACCATGTGAATTAATACCTACAGAGATATTTCCCATCGATAACATACTTAGGCTCAAAATGAACGTATTCCCCTGAGAACAGCCTTTGTTCCTCTCACAGGATATTTCCTCTTCTCTGTTCCACATGAGGCTGACACACAACTGAAAATTTGGAATTGGACAAAAGAGCAGCACTGGCACACACTTCTCTATATGAAAGGTTTTTGTGATCAGATAATATATTGATTTAGAGTTTTCTGAATATATGTCTACTATATGCTAGGTTAGAAAGTACCCTTCGTATTCAAAGAAATAATTGTGCGCTAACCAAAAGTAAGGCGAGCAAATGAGCAGGATCTGTAGACTATTTATGCAATAAAGAGGTTAAGATCAAGGTAGGTTTATGTTTAGCTGATCCTATATTTAATGATTGAAAAGGGCTCATTACAGGGATGTCACAGTGTGTGCGTCGGTGTGCATGCATGTATTCATTGCTTTTACAGTCTCTTGAAACTCAGAAAGCTGATAAACTCTTGTAAAAGTAATCACAGGGGCGCTTCTAAACACTGTTAATGCAAAGGTATCAATATAATCCAGAGATTAGTAATCTCTAGATTCCTCTGCTAAGAAGGTTACTACAGTAGATAATTTTGTAACCCCTTACTTCTCAAAACTACAGAGAAGTAAGCTCGTAAGTAAGAAGTAAGAAGTTTGTCAAAATGAATGCATTAATTTGACTGTATGTAGTTGTCCAAGAGCTGAAAATGAATAAAGGTAACTTAAGTAGTGATAACTGTTGCCAGCAAGTATGTTCCAGCCCTACCAGAAAAGTCAGACCACTGTTAGATAAGCCTAGTGACAGATCAATGGCAGGAGTCAATTATCACTACTCAATATGTGCCTGAGGTTGCCCATAGAAGTCTAAAGAGACCAAACCAGTGGTACAGGCAATGTGTTGACTCGGAAATGGTGTTGGAAAAAAACAGTTTTAGAGTACCGGCCTCGTGTACTGTATAACTTATGGAAAACGTGGAGATACTGTAGGTGAGTATTTCTCATAGTGGAAACGGCTTAGAACTAGGCAGGGATTGTTACAAAATACAAATATTTGTTAAACTGATAACAAACAACTTTAACTGATATAATTTGTATAAATCCATCCATCCATCCACGGTTTCAAATCAAAAGCAAAAAAAATACATATTCTTTGAAATCAAGTATGAATTATTAGTGGTGGGTGCACAGTTTCAACCTCGAGGAAAGAGCAGTAAGAAAACTACAGTTAAGTAAGAGTTAACTTAAACTTAACCAACCCAGCTCAGTCTGATGAGCTCTTGTTGACTCATTGGGGCTTATTGTTGTTAACACTAAGAGAGAGAGTGCAGAGAGACTAATTCACCCTCGCTGTGTGAAGGAGAGGTTCCGTAGGTCTTTCCTTCCTGCTGCTGTCAGACTGTACAATAAGAACTGCTGAGCCTGTAAATTTCATTCATCTGTAATTAAGTAAATTCTTAAATCATGTGCAATGTGCAATACTGCAACTTCAGGATGTCACAGAACAATGTCACTTTACCTCATGTCACTTTACTTACATACTTTTTATCCTGCACTATTTAACTGTACAGTATATAACTGCACTACTACATATATATTTCTTGACTGGTATTGAAGCATTTTCAGCATCTACAGCTAGTTATGTTAGCTAAGAAACATAGCTAATACTTATTTGTATATATTATATATATATTACTACTGTCCTATATGTGCGATGCAACATCGAAATTTCCCCACTGTGGAACGAATAAAGGAATTCTTATCTTCTTATCTTATAGTACAAACAATGAAGACAAAAGAACAGACAACTGCAAATTGACACATGAACAAATTGAAAATACATTTAAAGCAGTGTTAAGTTACTAAATATTTCCCAAGGAAACTGAAAGACTATTGCAATTACAAAGACTGTTGTCCACCTAAACTAATGAGCCAATCAGGGTGAGCACTGATCAGATATGTAACCATGTTCACCAGGATAACTTTGGGCTAAGTAATCTCTACATGGGTCAACTATTAGTTGTACTAGGCTAGACAAATCTGACCTTGATGGATGAGGGGGAAGAAGAAAGCGATTATTGAAAAGAAAATATAAGAAATTCTGTTTGCAGTTTGCCAAAATTCAAATGGGGACACAACTAAAATAAGGCCTTTACACACTGGCCCAGACTACAATGAGAAACGACAGGAACCTGTCAAAACAAACCTACAACTTCCATTGTTGTACTGAGTCAGAGAATTTTTTTTCCTCAGGGGACAAAAAGTTAATTCTAGAATCAGTCTTCTAAAGTCACAGTGCAGTGCATCCATGAACCCCAGCAAATCACACATAATGAACTACATCAACTTTATCATGTGGAGCCACATAAACATTTTCAAGCACATATTTCACATGGAAAGAACAGCTAATGCAAAAGCCTATGAGCTTACTCTGGCTTGTTACCCAGTCATTATGCAGTATTGTCCCATGTGTGAGAACCCTCTTCACCTGACTTACATGTAAACAACATTTTGGTCTTATTGCTTTCTAAATTACAGTTATAGTTGACCATAGTGTTGTGGTACTTCAAAGTAAAAAGGTTTTGGGTTTGATTCCACCACCAGACAGGGTCTTTAGGAACAATAGAAAAGTAGCGGCTTAGAGTCCAGAAATGACAGTTCTCATATCCCAACAGGGTTCCACAAAGTACCGTACTCTTTGGACTATAAGGCACACCTGTATATGTGGTGGCTGAGTGGATAGTACTCTCGTTTCTCAGCAAAAAGGTCCTGGGTTCGAGTCCTGGTCGGTACAGGGCCTTTCTAAGTGGAGTTTACAATAGGTCTGGCATGCGCCTCCTGTACTGGTGGCCCCGCTCCCTGCGTGGAGTGAGAGACAAATGCGCAACCAAAGTGTAATCCACTTTGTGACTCTGTGAAAGGCGGTATATATTATAAATTAAACTTACTTACTTACTTATATAAGCCGCACCACCAAACCTTTAAAAGAAAATCAATGTTGTCCACCTATAGGCCACACTTGAAAATAAGCCACAAGTGTTCATGTTATAATGTAGCAGATAGATGACTGTTTTAACTGGTCCCAACATGTTTTAATGGTGAGGAGTAGCTTAACCGTGAGCTTTCATGACTCATTCACATACATGTATATTGACTGTAAAAATAGCTACTAAACCTTATAAGTAATATGTCCATAAACTCTGCTCTGACAAAAGCCCAACTCTACTACAGAGCTATAAGCCGCAGGGTCCAAAGAACGAGAAAAAAGTAGGGGTTTATAATCCAGAAATTACCGTGATAACTCCTGTTGTATGAATACTTGTGCAAGCCCCATTTTTCCAAAGTATATATATTTTTAGATAATAGAAGGTATAATTTGGCTTTCATGTGACAAAAAGTTCAAAAATGTAAGTTGCGGTATTACTGTATGAACTGGTGTCAAATCCAAAAGCAGTCTACTCTAGACCATCAGCAGATCGGAAAAAAAAAATCATAGTTGTGGTTGATAAAATGGAACAAGCATTTTAAAGTTTCATTTAGAATTTCAAAACCTATGATGGATTAAAGACCAGTTAAACCAGCCAAATGTCTATGCTGGTGCAGTGCTTTAAGTGGGCTGGTACGAGTCGGTACGCAGTGGTGGCCCTTCCAAAGATAGCTCTTGAGAGTACCTCCACCTCTTTTTGCGCCAACAACGTGCTTTTGGCGTACCGGTTTAATTCTTTAGCTGCTCCGCTGCTTTTCAGAGCGCTTCCTACTTTGTCTCACCGAGAGTAGAGACTACATTAATTTTTACAAGGGAAAGGTGCAAGCGTCAATTTTGCCGCTGTAAACAACTCAATGTGGTGCTCAGTCCTTCTATGCTCGGCCCACATAGACAAATGGATTCCGTAGGTGTGTGAAACGTGCAATCATAGATCGTCGGTTAAAATCATGGATCTGTTATTGGTTAAAATACAATGAACACTTAGCCTACTATGCTCTCCTGGCCAAACATGCTGGAGCCTTTTTTAGGTAAATTACTTTGCACAGTATTTCTCATTTTTTATTGTATATTTTTTTAGGGGTAAAGAAATGAACATCTTCTAGACTCATATGTTCTACCATTTTTTCAATATTTTTTCACAACCATTTTGCATTTCTCTTTTCTAGCTCAAGCATAAAACCATGAACAAATGTATATAATAGATATATTATAGACAGGTGTGTTCATATTATTTATGACTAGTTCCTAATATATATAACTAATATATTCCCTTGGGCAAAAAAAAAAAGCACTGTGCTCGTGTAACCTTGATCTTAACCTTGATGGTCATTTCTTTTGATGATACTTAGAACACATGGAGAACAATTGCAGATATATAACATGCAACCAAATGAAATCCACTTAAATCTACAAAAAAACAACTACAGAAAGGATCTATCGGCTAAAACTGTGAGTGGGGTAAAGCTTGTAAAATACAACCAGCAACAACTCAGAAAGAAAAAGAAATGGTTTATTTCTCATGTTTCCAAATCGAGATGCATTTTTCTTTGCTACGCTGACATTTGAAAGGCCTTAAAACTGCAGTTCAAACAGTCAAAGTGATGGAGGAGGTTTTAAACCGTGTGCGTGTGTTCGTGTGTGCGTGTGTGCGTGCGTGTGTGCGTGCGTGCGACCTCTGAGCCCAGTGCCGTGAGTCTGCAGGGGTCAGATGTTTTTGGGTTCAGAGCCTCATGCTGCCCTGGTGGTGGTTTGATTGTGTGGGACATCCTCTGAGTCAGACTATACTCTTTCTGGCTGTTTTACCACATTTTCTTTTCCATGCTCTTGGCTGTGCTCTGGGTCTTACCGTTCACCTCCTGGGCTCCGGCGTCAGTGAACAACAAGCTCATCACCTCCTCAAAGTTGCAGGCAGGCTCAGGTGCGTGGCTGTCCTGGGCCACATGATGCAGCATCCTTTTCAACACGTCGTCCAGGGATGCAGCGGTCTCATCCAGGATTATACTTGCTCGAGCCAGGAACCCGTCCAGGTCTCTGTGCGCCCGCACCTCCTCTTCAAAGTTCATTAGCTTCACATACTGAAAAATAAGAAATGAGTACAGCTGGTTGTTAAAGCCTGACAAAACACTCACTGAATATCGCTGGCAGCCTCACTATTGAAAGTCATACAAATAGCTACTATAATAATAGTAACATTGTAGCATTCCACCAACAAATATGGGATGAATGAATAATGATGCGAATTAGAATAATAACAGTCTTAACTTCATGTGGATCACACACACCTGCACCTGCAACTTCTCTTGCTAGGATTAATCATGTGATGCTTTTATTGTGAGGATTAAACTAGATTAAATTGAAAGTCATTTTGATTGAATGCTCAGCTTAAAAATTTGACAAATAAAAATCTACCATCATCCACCTTGTTATTGAAATCAAGAATAAAGACAACATTTTTATTTGTGGCCTACATGTATACCCCATACCCCATCAGACAATTAACATCTGTCTTGTCAAAAAAGTGTATCTTTTTACTATAAATAAAGAATACTACACACAGTGTGTCTTGTTTGCATATAGAACAATGATTAATAATGAAAGAAACATACATTAATGCATAAAGTGAGTAAAGAATGAGGCTAATTAAATTCACAAAGACAAAGCAGATCCCAGTGAACACTGAGGCTCAAGAAGAGCTTTACCTTAGCCAGGCAAACCACTTTGGACAGCCCAAATCGATCTTAGTTTTAGATACATTTTCATTATATTACCCAAATAATGTTTTCCCCAAATACAAACTAACATATTTATGAAGTGGAATGATACAATACTGTGAGGAAATCATCCAATCATAGAGGTACTTTTTAGGGATGCACCGATACCGATACTGGTACTGGGCCCCCCTTTGGTACATAAGATTTGTTATGTACCCACTCACCACCTGCCGGAGGATCAGCGGAGGGACTGGTGCTATGGGCATTGGGTGGCAGCTCTGATTGTCACCCCCCGCCCCCACTTTGGGAACCACTGGCTTAGCTTATCTTAGCCAAGCGGACAGGATGTCGGCCGTATGGCAGTGTTTTAAAGTAAACTAAAGTGACAAGAGTAAAGTGGACTGTACGTTGTGTAAGGCTTAACTGTCACGAGGTGGGTCCAAAACAAACACGTATAACACCAGCAACGTGATCGAACATCTGAAAACTCACCACCACACAGAGAATAACACCTTTGGTAGCACCGGAGCTATTTCTTTGTAGAATTTGTTTGAGTGGAATATGACAGTGGCTCATACAGTATTGTTGACTGTTAAAGTAATTGCTAAAATGTTAAATAGTTAAAGCATTATTTATTGTTGAAATGAGAAATAAAACATCTAAAATGTTAATTGCACTAGTTTCAGGAATTCCCAGGGCTAAAACAATGCAGTACTCGTATCGGTATCGGCAAGTTAAGGATAACACAATTAAGGTACTCGTATCGATTTTGAAAAAGTCGAATTAGTAGCCCAACAATAAGATATGAAATACTTTATTGTCCTGCATAGAGAAATGTGTCCTCTAGTTTCGACCCATCCCGCAATGAAACTAGGGAAACTTGTTAGGAGCAGTGGTAGCCGCATATAGCATCCAGATGTCGATGCTTCTAGTCAGGACTACCGGAGCTGCTTTATTTAACTTATTTAAGTGAGTAGGTGAGAAATCTTATATAGCTTTCAATGACTGAGTCACATGGGCAGTTTTCATCCCACACCACACACCATACAGGAGGCACATGGACCTATTGTACATGTTTTTGTTGATAGGGGAAACCGGAGCACCCGGAGGAAACCAGAGCACCCGGAGGAAACCGGAGCAGACAAGGGTATAATCAAACCCAGGACTTTTTGCTGTAAAGCACGAGATCTATCCACCACTTGCTTATTTGTTTTGCATGGTGGCGGAAACCCGCCCACAGGGAGAAACATGCAAACCCCACACAGAAAGACCCGAACAGACATGAGATATCGTCCAATGAAAAATAGAATTATGTTAGCATATAATGATAAAGACGTAATTAATAGTTTACTAAATTTAACACTCCTCCCTGCTGTGAGGAAAAGCATCAGGTAATCAAGTAGTAAACAACAATTTGGTGACTAAAGCTATTGACAGCCTTATTTTCAGAGTCTGCTTTTACACACAGGCGGAGTGCAGCAGCTGTCTGTCAGGAAATCATTTTATTCCATAAACACAAGTGTGGCTCAGCAGGAGGGCCAAACAACAATCACTTCTGTCCATCACTTTTACAGCAGACACACCAGCCACTCTCTATTATCTTTTTTGTAATTTGTTTTTCAACAAAACTAATGTCAGTGCACAACATCAGGCCAATGGGACAGGCAGTGTGCTATAAAATGGCAGCAGCTTGACTCATCAGATGTCGCCTCTGTTGGAGCAGCAGAGTCTGGAGTCACCTCTGAAATGGACGAAGAGGAAAACCGCTCGATTAAGAGCCCAGACACCCAGTAGCCCATGATTTTATTGATTGAGAAATTGACAGAATTTCTGAAGAAGAGTGGATGCCATGCTGTTCTTTTAAGAGGAGAAATCCTCTCAAAAGGGTTTGTGACCCTGAAACCTTTGTGAATGCAGCACGTTTCATTCTCTTGTTTATGTTTCACTAACATGTCCAAAATAAGTAAAATGTGTTTTTTACAAGATATGAGAGGCTACACAAACTCAAATTTATACTGATCCCAAACCAAAAAATTGGCAGAGTTAATCAATTGAAATGGACAAAACAGACGGGTAGTGAAAACAAACAATGTGTGAAAGCAAATTTGAAGATTAGAGCAGAGATCCATGCAAGCTGTTGGCAGAAACAGGCACAACAAAGTCTGACAGGTTGTTTGACAGGAGGCTAACAGTGAGGGTTGAGAACAGAAGGCCTACAACATATAGTGAAGCGTAATCAAACTACTTATTTCTGTCAGTGTCAGTAAAGGAGAAGCTTTGATCAGTGCATCGGATTACAACAATTTTAGATGCTACACTTCACAACAATGTTTACTGTTGCCTTCGGAAGATTCACTTTTATAACCGTTAGGTGGGCCGATAACCCTAACCCAACACACGAACCAAAAACCACTCCGATACCCCCATTATGTCAGAAATAATCTGTAATGAAATGTTGAAATATATCAAAACGTATTTCATATACTTAGTAAACAATTGGCATTGTATATGGAAGACACTAAGAGACACTATTGTGAAATAAAAGCAACACAATACATGATTTTATTTTTGTACAAAAAGTAGGAGGAGACCAAGCACATCAAAATGTAAAACTGCCATAGATGCATCTCAGAGTGTATATTGAATACAGCACTCCAGCTCTGCAGTCAGTTTGTCCACTGAAATATAATGTTTACTAAAATGACCATTGCTCCTCCACTGCTGCATGTGCCATGAGGAGTATACCTTCCACAGAGTTTTTTAAATCTCTGTTTGAAAAATAAGTCTATGGGAAATGTTTTACCTCATTTTAGTCAATTCTGGGATTTTTTTCATCAGCAAGGGGTGTGTATGTACAGTATGTACATTATACTGCTCTAGGTGGATTGGATTTGTTTTTCAGCTTTGTGTGGGTGGATACATTTACAGAGCCAGTTCCTATGAAATACGGTTTCCAAACAATATAACAATTTGGATGTGTAGACAAGGCCTTAATTGTTGTATGGCAAGAAGTTAAACTGACACTTCCATGTTTAAAATGACAATGATCAAATCTTGATTGTATTACCCCCTTTTAAATGTATAAAACAAAAGTCAAACTGTTTAATGAAAAAAGTTCAGTGTTAAAAATTCAAATACATTTTTGATTTCCATTTTAAACAAACAGAAAAATATTGAACAACTGCTGACATCTCAAATATAAATCAATGTTGTGCCTTTTCTGAAAACAACCTATATACTGTACAGTGCCTTGCGAAAGTATTTTTAAGTTAAGCCTTTTAACATTTCGCCACATTTCAGGCTTCAAACATAAAGATATAAAAATGTATTTTTTTGTCAAGAATCAACAACAAGTGGTTCACAATTGTGAAGTGGAACGAAATGTATCGGATAATTTAAACTTTTTTAACAAATAAAAAACTGAAAAGTGGGGCGTGCAACATCATTCGGCCCCCTTGCGCTAATACTTTGTAGCGCCACCTTTTGCTGCAATTACAGCTGCAATTCGCTTGGGGTATGTCTCTATCAGTTTTGCACATCGAGAGACTGGAATTCTTGCCCATGCTTCCTTGCAAAACAGCACGAGCTCGGTGAGGTTGGATGGAGAGCGTTTGTGAACAGAAGTCTTCAGCTCTTTCCACAGATTCTCGATTGGATTCAGGTCTGGACTTTGACTTGGCCATTCTAACACCTGGATACGTCTATTTGTGAACCATTCCATTGTAGATTTGGCTTTTTGTTTTGGATCATTGTCCTGTTGGAAGAAATCTCCTTCCCAGTCTCAGGTCTTTTGCAGACTCCAACAGGTTTTCTTCCAGAATGGTCCTGTATTTGGCTCCATCCGTCTTCCCATCAATTTTAGCCATCTTCCCTGTCCCTGCTGAAGAAAAGCAGGCCCAAACCATGATGCTGCCACCACCATGTTTGACAGTGGGGATGGTGTGTTCAGGGTGATGAGCTGTGTTGCTTTTACGCCAAACATATCGTTTTGCATTGTGGCCAAAAAGTTCAATTTTGGTTTCATCTGACCAGAGCACCTTCTTCCACATGTTTGGTGTGTCTCCCAGGTGGCTTGTGGCAAACTTTAAACAAGACTTTTTATGGATATCTTTGCAAAATGGCTTTCTTCTTGCCACTCTTCCATAAAGGCCAGATTTGTGCAGTGCACGACTGATTGTTGTCCTATGGACAGACTCTCCCACCTCAGCTGTAGTTATCTGCAGTTCATCCAGAGTGATCATGGGCCTCTTGGCTGCATCTCTGATCAGTCTTCTCCTTGTTTGAGATGAAAGTTTGGAGGGACGGCCGGGTCTTGGTAGATTTGCAGTGGTCTGATACTCCTTCCATTTCAATATAATTGCTTGCACAGTGCTCCTTGAAATGTTTAAAGCTTGGGAAATCTTTTTGTATCCAAATCCGGCTTTAAACTTCTCCACAACAGTATCTCGGACCTGCCTGGTGTGTTCCTTTGTCTTCATGGTTCTCTCTGCGCTTTAAACAGAACCCTGAGACTATCAAAGAGCAGGTGCATTTATACGGAGACTTGATTACACACAGGTGCATTCTATTTATCATCATCAGTCATTTAGGACAACATTGGATCATTCAAAGATCCTCACTGAACTTCTGGACTGAGTTTGCTGCACTGAAAGTAAAGGGGCCGAATAATATTGCACGCCCCACTTTTCAGTTTGTTATTTGTTAAAAAAATTTTAAATGATCCATTAAATTTTGTTCCACTTCACGATTGTGTCCCACTTGTTGTTAATTCATGACAAAAAATTTAAATTTTATATCTTTATGTTTGAAGCCTGAAATGTGGCGAAATGTTGAAAGGTTCAAGGGGGCCGAATACTTTCGCAAGGCACTGTACACTCTACAACTACAGAGGCCTCAAGAAGCAAAGGCCATAAGAAACATGCACATGTCAGACCCGATCAAACGCAATTCTTCACATAACTGGTTTAGAGGTCAATATCAACCCTGTATAGCCAGCCAAGTGAACACAATAGCATGCCGTGTGAACGTGCCACATAGCCGCTGTTTCGGCTCTTAATTCTCGTCTAAAAGCTGCATTGAGGAGAAAGCAGCAGTAGGCCTCTGTATTGATCTTAGCTGCTGCTCAGCAAAAGCAAGTACAGATGCATGAGTCTCAAAATGTCATTCTGTGTGTTTTTCCCATAGACTGTATATATTATCGGACGTAGTCATGCCTATCTCTGCCGTTCTAACTAATGGGCCAAAAATTGGGATCTCATGGAGTGATTCAAAATGGCCGCGGGGGCTGGAAAATGTCTGCGCATGCATCAGCCGGCACGAGCCTCATTCATTTAAACGAGTCACATCAAAAATTCACAGCGAGTAAACTAGACCGGTCCAAAAAAATACACTCCCCTCAGCATTGACACACATCTGAGACGGAGCTTTGGGCCAAGAGCCAACTTTTGAACCATCCTGAAAAGATGTTTTCGAGAGGTAAGCAGATGCTATATTTTATCATTGGCTAATTCTTATTCCAGGTCCACCCCCATCGGCTCAGGGTGGTATTGCAAGCATGTCAGCGCACGTCATTTTGACCACTTTTGAGCTGGGACCCGCCCCCACTGGTTTTTCCACAGGTAGGACCACACCCCCACTTGTGGAAACAATTTTGGGATATCTATTTTGTTTTAAAAGTTTGATTTTGCAATGTGCTCAAAAATGTCCTTAGAGTACTTAGAGATGACTGATATATTTGGATGAACAAAATTCATTGCATTTCAATTGAATTCACAGAAACTATGGTAACAGATTTACTTACCCTTCGTGATGTGTTGAGTAACACACACCCAGAGTCATCAGCATCTGTAAGAAAGAATAAGAAGAAACAGATGACATGTTGAAACTTTAAAAGAATCCTTTTGTCCTAATTCCCTTCACTGGTAATGGTTCATAGAGTATTGGCATATATTGAAAGTACAGTAGGTCCCATTTCGTTTTGTCGCCTTTCACGCGTGAATAGCACGAGACTCACGTGTGAAACACGCGTCTTTTTTTTTTCCCCAGTGATGCTGCAATGACCCAAACAACCACCAGGTGGCACTTGTGAGCAGTGCCACCTTGAGCTTTATGACACCCAGTCATAAAGCTCAAGTCTTTGGCGCAGGAGGACCTGGGTTCGAGTACAAGTTAAAGACTTTTGATACAACTCCACAATCAGCACCAAGTTATGAAGATAAAATTATTCCACCTTTGTACTGGCTTTTTGTCTTTGCAGGGTTAGGAACATTGTCGGAAAATCTTCTGCTTTTAAACTCTTAACTCCCACCTGAACCGAGCACGTCTTAAAAAAAAAAAACTTAGTAATTAGGCCAACACATTTAAAATAGTTGCTAGACTGTAGTAAGACCAAGCGAAAGTCTTTGATAATCCTGCTACGCCACACAGACGCTGGAGAAAACACTGGATCTAATAGGACAGAGCGCTGAGTGAATGAGCCGTGCGTATGTGCGGGACGCTTAAAATGCCTTATATGCAAGTTAATGCAAATGTTTGCCATATGATCTGCTACTCCTGTGCATTTGCGTTTTAGAATTCCTAATTAATGGTAGATTGTAGAAGTGAATAAATATAGATTGATTGAATGAATTAATTCATATATATTATGCAGCGGTGGCTCTCATGAATTAAGCGTCTGCAGCGTCTTGGATGCAGCCTGGCTCGGGGTAGAAGTGCGCATTGAAGCGCTGTACACTTCAGAGAGCGTTTGCGGTCCAGATTTCACAAAGAAACTCTGGAGCCAAAACTTCTGCACATGTGGCGCGACCTCTCACGGCACTCGCTGCGCACTCTGGACAGGGCAGTGAGACATTTGTGAGTGAGCAATACCATCGATGCGTTATTGGGGTGTGTGGCTGTGTGAGGCTTACACAAATCTAATGAAATAACACATTGCTTTACCAGATGTGAATGAGGAATACAAATGCGTAATTACGCTGAAGAAGATGTGCCAAGTCTGGGATCGCGTCTTTCATTCAGACAGAAGACATGTTTTATTGTCAATGGTAGAGACAGCACGATCAAAGCACACGATCACAGATACAACAGAATGCAAGTGTATTATACAGAGCGGAGGCATGGAGACCTCCAATCAGCAGCTTCCACGGTGTGCTTGTAGCTTGGCCTTCAGATAGACAAAACAAGGGAAAAGTACTGGCTTCTGCACATTGATAGAATGATGAGTTTAACTTTAACAAAAGTTGCTTCAAAGTGTTATGAAATCTCATATTCCCCCCTCTGGTCATACATTCACGTGTGACCATCAGGATCGATAAACAGCAACATAACATCATAACTCAATACTTCAAAAACTCATAAACTCGGTACTTCAAAAAACTCAGAACTCGGAATACTTCAAAAACTCATAAAACATGTTCAGATCTTTCATAAAACTTGTCAACAATCTTCAGTAAAATACCAAACTTCATCAGTCGATGGTGGTTCCAGATATTGCTTTGAAAACAGTCTCTCCCACTTCTCCTGTTGATTTCTTCAGGCTGCATTTGTGTCGAGCCATGAATTCTTCTGTGACGTGTCTTTCAATCACACGTTTCAGCTTCAGTGTCCAGATTCAGCAATTCAATTCAGTCCAAATTATGTCCAAATTCAGAAATCCAATTGTTCCAAATGATGTCCATGCAAAAGAGGACGATGGTATTGTCCATGTCTCAGCAGCTCACAGCCTGACTGGAATAAGGGGCTGTGCAGATAGTCCAAGTGTGCTGGTCCAGATGCATGGTTTCTCTTGAGGTTTCTCAGTTTTGGCTTAAAAAAAAACACTTTTTGTGTAAAAAAAAAAAGTCTTCTGTTCTCTAGATGTTACAGACAAGGCCCGCATCCTTCCACCACCTGAAGAAGATGACATAGTCTGGGATCCATCCATCCATCCATCCATTTTCTACCCTTTAATCCATTTCTGGGTCAGGGGGGTGGCAGTCAGAGATGCCACCCAAGTCTCATAGCACCAGCCCCTCACTGACCCTCTGCAGGTGGTGAGTCCACAGGAGGACGGCTGCTCTCTGAGTGTGAGCATAGCCTTGATCTTTCAGTGGGGGCTTTGGGCAAAGTGGGGTTAAGTGTCTTGCCCAAGGACACAACGACAGCAGTCATCAGTGGGAGTCGGTGGAGAAGGTGCAGAGGTGGGAATTGAACCCACGACCTTCTGGCCTTAAGGCCAATGCTCTACCAACTGAGCTACTGTCGCCCTGGGATGTCTGGGATCGCGTCTTAAATTCAGACAGAAGACATGTTTTATTGTCAATGGTAGAGACAGCACGATCAAAGCACACAATCACAGATACAACAGAATGCAAGTGTATTATACAGAGCGGAGGCATGGAAACCTCCAATCAGCAGCTTCCACGGTGTGCTTGTAGCTTGGCCTTCAGATAGACAAAACAAGGGAAAAGTACTGGCTTCTGCACATTGATAGAATGATGAGTTTAACTTTTACAAAAGTTGCTTCAAAGTGTTATGAAATCTCATAACGCAGCGCAGAGCCTGCCACAGCAATAGACGGGTCACACATCCCTGTTGCGTAAAGTGTATTTATATAGAGCCTTTCACTGTCCAGGATCACAAAGCGCTTCCCATTTAAAAACATACAGATCAAAATAATACACACACAAGTCAGTTTTAATAGAGGGTCCTCATCATGAGCTGTGATTTATTCGAAGTTTGCGTGTTTCCATTAGACTTTTTCTGATGCGCAAATTCAAATTTTGAAACATGATCCTCAATGAAAACACAGCATATAATTTTGCCAGAGGGAATATGTTTATTGTTGTCTATATCTTGAATTTCATGCGTGTTTTGGCGTGTTGTGCCGAAGGTTGAGATCAGCGTATAGATTTACACCACCTCCAGACCTGGCGTATATTTTTTGCGTATTGTACGCTCACGTCCAGATAGATAAATGCGGAAAAGTGTAATATTTTGCGTACGCCTCATTTACACCCTGATTTGGCCGTACGCAAGTTTCATACATGAGGCCCACAGTGTGTCTCACACAGGCCTAGAGTTTACCTCATCAGTGCGAGTCGAGCCTGGCCTGACCACGCTCTCTTCCTCTGGGACCTACGGGCCCGGGCCTCTGGCTACTCTACCTCACAAAGTTCACGCTGAACTTTCTTAAAACTAAAATGAAAAAGGCTGCTCTGTTGTGAATGCTTTGAGAGCGTTGTCAATCTTTAAGACGAGGAATAGCTGGTTGTTCTCAGGAACGAGCGTCACGCTGTGTGATATGATATTGGACAAAATTGTTCAGCCAATAAACAGGACTATATTTGAAGCAACGTAGGAACATGATGACGCTCAGGGGGTTATATTTTCTTAAAACATTAGAACGCAACATTTAGGCATTAGCAATAATTTGTGTTTAAAAATAACACATTTTAAATTATGACTTTTAATAAAAAAGGCTAATGACTTGAGAGGCGAAGAACAAATTTGAGTAGGCCAAGAAAAAAACTGGTAGGCACCGGCCTACCCAGGCCTATCCCTGCCGCCGCGGCTGGCGCACAGGCTCTTCTGTCTTTAGGACAGATAGATTTCAGATAGAAATTGCTACTAGAAAGTCGCTCTTAGATGCTGCTGTTGTAGCGAGGGCTGACGCAGCCTCATGCCGCTCCCGATCTCGGCGGAGTTTTTGAAGTGTACAGTAACTCTACCGAATACAATTACTCAAAATGAGTATTCTAACAATTTGAAAGTTATACCAGTTATACCACTTACTTTGAAATAGCATTCAGTAGCGACACTTTTAAACATAAAACACATTCTCACGATATTGCTAATACAAATTTATGATGGGGGGAAAACTTTCTTTCTCCGTGTTTTACAAATATAATGGAGTTGGCTGATGAATGTCTGCTTAGTTTGTGAACTGTATTGAACTAGATTGACCAGGGCTCGAGTCCACAGGAATGTCGAAAATCCAGTTCATCTTCACATATGCAAAACATCTGATCTCGTGATTGGGACGGGACCGGGAAAAAAACACGAGTTGCAATTTCTTTACTATCTGTCATAAAGTGAAAGGAGCCTATGCGTCCTTTATTTAGGACAAGACATTTTTAATAGCCTATACTCAGGCGAGCAAAAACAGAGCACGTTTTCTCCAGTGTTAAATAAAAAATACCTAGTAATTAGGCCAACACATTTAAAATAGTTGCTAGACTTTAGTAAACTGTTGTAAACTTCACAATCTGCACCAACCAAAATGCAGGAAAAAAATGCAACTTTATTCAGTAACGGAGTAATCTGATTCATATACTCCCCCGGCTAATAAAAATTGAGGATTGGCTGGGGCTCGAACCCCGATTGTCCAAGCGAAAGTCTTGGACAATCCTGCTACGCCACACAGGCGCCGGAAAAAACCCTGGATCTAATAGGAGAGAGCGCTGAGTGAATGAGCCATGCGTATGTGCGAGACGCTTAAAATGCCTTATATGCAAGTTAATGCAAATGTTTGCCATATGATCTGCTACTCCTGGGCATTTTAGAATTCCTAATTAATGGTAGCTATATGTAAGATGTGTAGTTTAAATTTTTGTAATTATACACAGCCTATATATTGCTAATCAAAGTAAAAGTATTCAGAATACAGTGTACACTCGTGTTTGTTTTGTTCCAATGTTTCACGTTCAATAACGCACTTGCTGCTGGCTACCCCATACTGTAGAAGAAGTCAGAAAGGAACTTTTGAGAAGAAGTGTTTTATTAAAAAATAAGAAGTAAAAATAAGTAATAAAGTAAAATACAATTGTATTGTTACAGTACTTACAATACAGTGCAGTAAGTCAGTA